GATTTTTTTATTACCTACATTTAAAAAAATTGCAAAATTTGCCGCCCCTAGATTTGCCGCCATGGGCCGCGTCCCATGTGGCCACCCCCTCAATCCGGCCCTTAATCCCTCATTCACCACAGGCCATTTGGTCATATCTCCTCCAATAATTGTTCTACATGGAAACCAATCCTTATTCTTAGATTTTTCAATACCCTCTACACCTAACCACCTTAATGCTTTATGCTTGGGCCCTATATGCAGTGGCGTAACGGACTTCCGCTGGGCCCCCCTGCAAAATTTTTTCTAGCCCCCCCCCCTCAAGTCGATAAAATTCCAAAATTATCCCCCCTCCCACCCCATCCCATTTTTTGGCCCGAGGCATCTCAAATCACGGACTTGGACTTAGAATGCCTCACCCCTCACCGTCCCAGATCCCGTACCCGATTATATGGGACCCCTAAAGGATCAAGGATCTAAAAGGGTAGCGGGGGCCCAGCCCAGGCCCAAGGATCTACAGAGGGGCCCAGGCCCAAGGATCAAGGCCCCAAGAGCCTTGGGGGGCCTTTAGATTATTGTACCTCCCAAAGCCCGAAATACGAAAAGTGACAAAAAAAGAAAAAAAAATTTAGTTATCACTGAGTGGAAATTGGAAGGCAGTGGCCCTCCAGCAAAAAAAAAAGTTAGGAACAGTCCAAAAGAAGTATGAAAAACTCTGAGCTAACAATAAAAATCAGAGGAAGAAGCCCCATCTCGGTAAGTAAAGGCCCAAAGTTTGAAACCGAAGCTAAGCATCAAAGAGAAAGAGAAAAAAAAATTCCGGTGGCCGAGGGCCCCCTAGGCGCTTGGGCCCCCCTGCATAGCAGGGTCTGCGGGGGCGCCCGTTACGCCACTGCCTATATGTATATATAATGGGCTTTGGGTATTTCCTCTATAAAGTTACTCCATATACCTAAAAGAAGCGAATACTAAGGGTCATAGTTGCATAGAAAATTGCGCCCAGGACCTCACGTCCTCACGCCAACTCGCATGCAACCGAACAAAATACAAAATTGCAAATTTGTCCTCGGCATTACCTTCACTGAATTCAACCCTTGAAATTTACCTACCGCACTACTCGTGCATATTGGTCAATTAAACAAGTAGCGATAATCTGATCGAGGCAAAGGTGGGTTAGGGTCATAAGGTGATGGAAAGCGAACTATAACATACACAGAACCTTTATGGATATCGACGCCAATACTTCGTCGTATTAAAAATTTAACCAGCAGATCTTCGTTGCTTTAATTTTGGCGTCATCCAGTAGCTCATTTAATTTCAATGCAGGGGTTCCTATGAAAACTATATTTTGCGAGGAAAATTGGCAACACTGTTTTTATGCCTTCCACACTCAGCTGGTTGGGTCAACGACACTCATCCTCAGTCTGCGCGCGAGACATGATAATCTCGCGTTGCCGTGTTTATGCTGATTCATTTATTTTCAGGAGTCAGTCCTCATAATTCTGCCAGTCAGATCCGACAGGGGCACTGATCATGATCATAACCACGCGATTCAATTTTGATTTGGTAGAGTTGATGGGGTTGTTTTCCAACGTTGCATTTTTCAAGCGGTAACAAAAAGCCATCTTTTCTCTCGTCCAGATTGTAGCAGTCATTAAACTATCCTAAACGTAACTAAATTAACTTATACATTTCTCTGATAAACTTAGTGCACTCAGATATGAAAATATACCAAAAAGGCAAATATTTCGAGGGAAAAGTAAGTCGAATCAAGAGGACCCGTTACGGCGGGACCNNCCCGCCATGACGGAGCCTATCTCAGCTGAAGACTTTCAATTTAGCTGAAATATTAAAAAAAAAGAAAGAAAAAAAACCAGAGTAACGAATGGCTGGGTACTTCAAAGAAATAAAACATGACAGATTTCAAAAAATGGGTTTTGGAAGTTTCACTGTTCTGGATCGTGAAATATTTCAGTTCAATTTTTTTTGTTATATAATTTTCGCATTCACTGTATCTTGGTTTTCAAATAAAATTATTTGACTGATCATTACTAAAGCAAATCAGTTTGTGTGATTCCTCTTTTACCCAATCCGCAAAAAAATTCTCCGAGAATATAGTAAAAAAGTTGTCTTATAAAATGGCAAACTCCTCAAAAATGAAAAAAGAATGGTAAATAGTAATACCCTTTGTGTTATGAATAAAGTTTCTTCATGGAAAATCTTTATTTCCTGTTTCAAACCGGCAACACCGTGCTGTGCCGAAGTCAAGAAGTGGCCGAATTTTGGCGCTCGCGCGTCGCGCCTCCAGGAGCGACGGCCTTTGACGATGTTGCCAGACCTAACAACGAGTATAAGCAGATATACTGCTATTGTTACCGACCTATTGAATAATCTGTCTTAATTTTATCTTCTTCTTCCCTCTCTCTCGTAAACCCTAATCTCCCCTATTTGTGTGCTCCTTGCTCCAGTTTCAGGGCTTCCTTCACCCTGTGCATTCAGCCCAATCTAACACGGGTTTCTTGTTTTTCTTTTTCTGCTGTCTATCGAATAAATTAGATGTAAATCAATACACAGGAACGACATAGGTATAATGAATTACTTCTGAAATTAATCAATTATGAACATGGTCGTCCAACGGTAGGCAAATGATATCAAATTCGGAACCAAATGAAGTCTTTGTTCTTTGATCTCTACTGGCTTATTCTACCGTTTAAGTCTCCAAAATATTTAGCATCATTATTTTGAGTTAAGAACTTTGATGCCGATACTTCATCACCGATGATTGTTCGAGGAATGATATCATATTCGAGACCAAATCAATTGTTTTTTCTTTGATCTCTACATTCTTACTCCAGCGTTTAAGTCTCCAAAATGTCTAAGATCTTTATCCTTCTGATGACCGTAAACCATTACTAATAATCGTCCCCAAAGGTAAGCGAATGATATCAAATTCGGGACCAAATCAATTGTTTGTTTTTAGGTCTCTACATTCTTACTCCATCGTTTAAGTCTCCAAAATATCAGGGATCATAATTCTGAGGTAAGAACTTCGATGTCGGTAAACCATCAGTAAAAACGTCCCCAAAGGTATAGGCGAATAATATCGTATTCGGGACCAAATCAATGCTTGTTTTTTAGGTATCTCTACTTTCTTACTCCGTCGTTGAAGTCTCCGAAATCTGTATTACCATCATGCTGAGTCAAGAACTTTGATATCGATAATCCATTTATTCTAAAAAGACTCGACCTACTCTGAGTCGGAGGGCAAGATATCTTCAAACTTTGTCCTCTGTATTGAGCAGAGGGTTGTCCACAATTTTTATTATCCTATCAATTGGACGTATTTTATGCGGAAAGGAACCGTTGCACCCAAACCCTGCGCACATAGTTCCTTTTAGTATAAATGTGTCCAATTATCGATCCACTACTTTGAAGCTCGACTATATTAAGTAAAAAGTAAATGATACTCTGTATGAGATTGATTAAGATTTTAGGATTGAAAAGTTAGAATTTAGAGTGCACAAAACTATTAGGACACATTTTCTTTCAGCCATGATAAGTTGAGGCTTGATTATTTCGGGTAGAGCTCGTTTCAGCGTACTGCTTTCATCGAATGATAGATCTTATAAGTCTTGAAAACCACTTTAAACTTTGCTGATGCCATTAGGAATTTTTTGCATCATCTCAACGAAGGAACGTAACTCCAAGTTACAAAATTGACTCAAACAATTCAATTTTTCACCAGAGTAAACTGGCATAATTTTCGTCAACAATTTGTCTAATTTTCGCATGAGATCAGAAGGAATACTAGTGAAATTTTCAGTTAGGAATCATCCTGATAAAAATGTAATTTATAAAAAAAACTGGCAACATTGAAATGTAGTTACGTTCTTTCGTGTGAGGAACGACGAATTGACATAGCTAGGAGCTCAACGCTCAACCATGCGATCTCTGCCCAAACCGTACCGGTCCCGCAGCGACAAAAAACCGCCTTCATTTCGAAGGAATGCAATTCTTGTTCCTTCACCCACCCGCGTGATGTTGATGTTATTTGTAAGTATTTCATGTACCAATTTAGTCGGATAAAAATTTGTTCTTCAAAGATTAGCTCTGACACTTATTCTTTCTCTCTCTCTCTCTCTCTCTTTAAATCAGACGACAAACTGTTCACATGATTGATTGATACTTCTTATGAAGATAGCCTATGTGTCAACAGTTGCTTCAATTGGACTTCATTATGCATAAGAACTACACTTTCTGGCTCGGTTTAAAAACAACGTATGTACCATTAGTTTCCCTATGCACACGGAGAAAAAAAACTCGTGCGTGGGACCCGAAGTTTAGGTCATATGGATCTCTGAAGTTTTCAGATTGAGCATCTGAACACTTTAGGTCTAGCTGCCGAAGTTCGGATCATACATCTGAAACTTCAGTTCTTACATCTGAAGTACTTCGGTTCTAACATCCGAAGTACTTCGGTTCTCACATCCGAAGTACTTCGGTTCTCACATCCGAAGTACTTCGGTTCTCACATCTGAAGTACTTCAGATGTATGATCCGAACTTCGGCAGCTAGACCTAAAGTGTTCAGATGCTCAATCTGAAAACTTCAGAGATCCATATGACCTAAACTTCGGGTCCCACGCACGAGTTTTTTTTCTCCGTGCACATAGGAGTTTTTTTGATGAGCCAGAAAGTGTTGTTTCGAATTGCAAAAAGTCTAATTAGTTGTCTCCCGATCGACGGCACGTAACTCCATTCCGAGGTTGCAAAATTGGCTCAGACAATTCAATTTTTTACAAAAGTACACCTGTGAATTTGTTGTTCAAAATTTGTCTGATTTTCGCATGAAATCAGGAGAAAAATCTGTAAAATTTTCGGCTTGAAATGCATAAGATTCTCCTTGTAAAAATGCGATTTGTGAGGGGAAATTTGGCAACATTGAAATATAGTTACGTTCTTTTGTAAGGGAAACGCCGAATTTAGTTTCGAATTTGGATAAATCAATGAGAGATCAAAAAATAAATGGGTCATTTGAATAATCGATTCCGAAGGTAGCGCTAATTTCTTCTATTTTGACATGCCTCATCAAAATTGGTGATGATGGAAGATTGCATGACAGCTGAAAAAGAGTCAAGATCGCACATGCCGTCATCAACCGTGTTTTGATCATATTCGCAGCCTTGAACTTTCAAAATTTCCAGATTTTCATCCGAGGTATTTTTCTTATACAATATCTGAAACCAGAAAAACACACAAATATGCTGTAATTTTCCTCTTCTTTCAGAAGTTTGCCTGGTACATGTAAATTGATGTATGCTACTTCCAAGCTGTGCGTCACAGCGTACGATGGACTGCGGACATATCATTTACGGAAATAAATGTGTGTTTAAGGACCAGACTGTTGGTTGGATATGATTTCAAACCACCCCAATGTTTCCCATTCCTCAGAGAGGTTTACTCTCTTTAAGTAATCTTATTAATTTTTTTGGTGACAAGAAAAAAATCATTGAAGTTACACCAGGAGCATGATAAACAGGGCCGGATTTACGTTTTTGGCGCCCTGTGCAGAAATTTTCGAGCCGCCCCCCCCCGCCCGCCCGCGCATTTCCCAACCCGACGGTCCTCTTTGGTTACAACGTGCTAACACTATAACTAAATACGAATTTTTCAAGTGAGTGAATGATTCTGGGGCAGAAACCAAAACCAGGTACCTGTTCCTGTTACTGTTAACTACGAAAGTGAGAGAAAGTTTGACCCTTAAAGTCTAGGGTCAGGTCATTTAAAAGATGGAACGCAATAAATTAATGGTTCCCTGATGTAATTTTGCAGAGTTTGAAAAAAAAACAACCAAAATTTGGCGCCCCTTAAATTCTGGCGCCCTGTGCAGCTGCACCGATGCACCGTAGGTAAATCCGGCCCTGATGATAAAGATAGCTAGAGAGAGGAAACTCATCGACAGTGACAATTTCGCAAGTCGACAACACCATTTAAATCCATTGAAAATATCGATTTTAGGTGAGGCAAGCTCCCTCGCCACGAATCGATTGTTTTACATACATTTAAATGGATGAAAAACAGTGTCGCCAACTTTTAAGAATCACTTCTGACATTCGATGATTCTCGTCGCTCATTATCCATGCATCAAGTACCTAAGGTTGATATTTTACAGACTTTTTTCGGGGTATATATACTCTGAAACTTTTCATTTTGTAAGCTCTATGCCCTGCGAAAAATTTTAATAAGTTCTAGTAAGGGAATAAAAGTAAAGCTACACTTATTGGTATAGATAATCTTTCTAGCACCTATTCCTGTACGAGAAAAAAAAATAGTCGTAAACTTATCATTGTCTACCACTCTTATTCGAGTCAAATTTGACTAAATTTCATTTCCTTTAATTCTAATTGACTCTAAAATTACTCTAATAAAATTATAATTGCTTTAATTGAACTACATTTTGCAATAAGGAGCTACAAGTTTTGGTTCATCCGTAAAAGCACTTATGTGCATAGGGAAACTGATGGCATACACTCTAAACTGAACCGGAAATAATAATTCCTAATTGCAAAATGAGGTCCGATCGCCTCTCAATTGGAGTTTCATTGGATTTATTTTAAAGTGTAGAACCTAGTATTAGTACAAACAAATTAGTAGAACTTACGTACTTTAACTCTATATTTGTCCTTGATCTGGTGCAGTTCAATAATTATAACAGCTCCATAGTCTACTTCCGCTACTTCTCGACTAATTTTCAGGCCTCCCCAAAGACGCACAATAGTCGCGTCATGCGCTGAGTACAAGCTTAACCGCCGACCAAAATTATTTGAGGAGTTAGTTTTCTTTTCCATATTGGACAATATCTCGTTAATCAAAACCCCTACAGCAATAAAAATGAAAAAGATATGAGTGAAAAGTGAAAAACCATCATGTAATATCCATCTCATGTAATCGTCTTTCTCGCTAATCTATACGTCCTGCTGCACGGTTGATTGGGTTTTTAAATGATTAAACTGTTCGGCCTTTTCGGCCACGCCAGGAAGTATCTTTCCATATCACAACAAGGGCGTTTTTTATGTGTCGCCACTCTTTCTTAAAGAATTATCTGTGGCAACAGTCATGGCAACTTCATTACTCGCTAATCTACGATGCTATGCTACACTATTAATTGGGTTATCTAAATGATACAACTATTCGATCTCTGAGGCAACGCTAGGAAGTATCTCTTCACAATGAAGGCGTTCCTCATACATCGTCAATTATTCGGCCATTGGGGTTATGGTCACGCGCTGTCTCCGAATATGCGGCTTGTTAGGAAAATGCGCCATCGTGAGTGCCTTATCTACCGGTGACGAGGCAAGAATAATCGATTATAGATATTTCCCCATTTAGAACTGTCGTAAAAAATCGATAATTAAGGTGCTCGTTGTGAACACCCTGTTTATCGATCCTTTTCCATAGGTTTAAATGGCAGATTAATCGATATATCGCAAGCACGCCACGTCACTGTTCTCTACGAAGAGAGACGTGCCGCGTGGCGCGACTGACGTCAGTCACGTGCTTTGCGATATATCGATTGATCTGCCATTTAAACCTACGGAGAAGGATCGGTAGACAGTGTGTTTGCAACGAACACCTTGATAATCGATTCTTTACCACAGTTTCAAATGGAGAAATATCGATAATCGATCGTTCACGCCACGCCACTGACTGGCGTGAGGCATTTGATGAGGAATGTGATGATATGTCTGTGTTTATACGAATTTTCCCCTAGCAAGAGGGAATTTAGCATACTACCTGATTCAAGTTTTACATAGACAGGTGATTTAAATTTTCCTAATTTTCCCACAAGAGCGAGTGATCTCAATCTATCTAGAACATCTCCTTCAGCCCATTGTGGTAATGGTAGGCCCTGTTGTCCCTGAAAACGGAAATATTTATGGAGTATACTCATTGACAATAATCGCCTCATGTGTGAGAAGTATATTTTATGACACTTTCAGAGACCCTATCGACTCGAAATCTCTTTGAAATTATGCTAAGCATTGAAATAGCCTATGATGCATAATTAAGAATCTCTATAACGCCTAAAAAAGTTGGCGTTTGGCGTGGCATAAATAGATTGATCTGCCACTTAAACCTATGGAAAAAGATCGATAAATAGGGTGTCAGCAATGAGCACCTTAATAATCGATTTTCTATACCATAGCTTCGAATGGGAAATATCGATATCAGTGGCGTGGCTTGAGTTGCGATACATCGATTGTTATGCCATTTAAAACTATGGTAAAGAGTCGATTATTAAGGTGTTCGCTGCGAACACCCTGTTTATCGATCCTTTTCCATAGGTTTATATGGCATAACAATCGATATATCGCAACTCACGCCACGCTACAGATCGATATTCACGCCTCGCTGCTGATAAAAATCTAAAGAACACTCGATATTGAAGAGACAGTGGGCGAAAGAGTATTCCGGAGAAAAGGAATGGGTCTTTTTTGAACTGATAGATTCAACTAATCTATTACACGCAAATCCAACCTCAGCAAAATCTGGAGTGAAGCTGTTTCTTCACGTTGAATTTGATTCTGTCGATGTTTGGTTTGCTATTCTGCCGTGCTAAGGAAAACGCTGTAAGAACCTTCAGGCGTTGCCAAATTTCCTTTGATAAAACGCGAATTTCCTGGCAAATTCATGAATATCTTCCTCCTAATTTTTCGGATAATTTAGTTTGTAATTTTGCCTAAAGATCCTGAAAATTCAAAGGAAAAATATTCATAACCTCATTAAAAAATGAAAATTTTATTGAAGAAAATTTGGCAACTCTCGAATGTTCATACGGCGTTTTTCCTTAGCACGGCAGCGTTGGACAAAGAGTACTGGCAGGAAGAAGGCTGACGCGTCTCCCCTAAAAGAGACGTAACGAGAATTGCAGTCTCCCGGAATGAAGGCGTTTTATCTTTGCGCGGACATCCGCAGTCTTCAGTACGATACAGGAAGAGGAACTGGTGAATCAATTGGACTGCATTTTGCAATTTGGAGCTATAAATTCCGGCTCCTCTAGAAAAATACTTATGTGCATGGGGAAACTACTGGCACATACGTTGTTTCTAAACCGGGCTTGAATTAATAGTTCCAAATTGCAAAATGTAGTCCAATTAGAGGACATCGTATATATTAATGTGCTTTAGCTTCAATTAAAGAATGTGAATCTCTATTAGAACTAACGAAAGATTTGCCTCTCTTGGTGTCTTGGTTGCACTGAATTGATATAGTTAAACTTAATAATCATGGTTCAATTGCGAGGTTTTTAAATTTACAATCCTATTTCTTTCCGACGGTTTATTACTTTTTTTTTAGAGAACTTTATTATTTGACATTTTCTAATTTTCTTTCAACAAGGAAGAAAAATCAAGGACATTTTTGAGATATTCACGGAGATAAATACGGAGATTTTTGAGATATTAAACTTCGTGCGTGGGAGCCGAAGTTGAGGCCATATGGATCTCTGAAGTTTTCGGATCACGTATCTGAAAACTTGAGGTCCAGCTGCCGAAGTTTGGGTCAGACATCTGAAGTACCTCGATATATGGGTGGTTTCACGATAACTGGAATAGTTTTGTCGCCGTTACAGACAACACATTTTTCGGTCATATTTTTAGTAGTAATGATAATCACTCGAATTTTCTTCATTAATCTACACAAGGTTACATGTTATAACGTTGTTCAAAGATTTATCGCTCTACTTTTCAATTTTAATTTATAAATGGCCGAAAATGTGTCGTCTGTTACGGTGACTTTTACCGCGTAACAGACGCAGCACATTATTGGAATTTACATAATATTAATTGAGAAGTAGAGCAATAAATCATTAGAAAGTGTTATAATACGTGACCCTTTGAAGATTAATGCGAAAAAATTCGAGTGATTATTATTTCTGCTAAAAAAATGACGGAAAAATGTGTTGCCTGTTACGGCGACAAAACTATTCCAATTACCGTGAAACCACCCATATACCAAATGGTTCGGGTCACACATCTGAAGTATACTCCGTTACGTACCGAAGTGCCTCGATGTCTGACTAGAACTTCGGCAGCTGGACCTCAAGTTTTTAGATACGTGATCCAAAAAGTTCAGAGATCCATATGACCTCAACTTCGGGTCCCACGCACGAAGGTTTTTTCTCCGTGTTGTGCTGAGTGGGATGGGTTCTCGAATAAGAGTAAAATACGATGAGATGTCTGCATTATAGCAAAACGTGATACGTGCCCTCTGCATTTTGGCATCAATACATCCTCACAATACAGTAAAAAAAAAGTTAAAAAAAGATATACGTACCACGACAAGAAGGTTGTCATACAGACGATTGACCTCTGAATACCCATCTACTTGGAGACCACTTTCTTGTGAAAGATACTTCAGAAATTCATCATGTTTGTTTATTTCTTGTTGAAGTAGCGCTCTTGTTTCCCGCCTCTCCCTCGATAGCAACCTGCATTGTTTAGATACACGAATAATCTGTGAATGAAACAAACGTAAAGCGTGCATCAGAAGTGAGGCGGGAATGATCGATTACCTATCGATATTTTCCCACTTGAAGCAATGATAAAAAATCGATTATGGTTTTCGTTGCCAACACCTTATAAATCGATACTTTTCCAAAGGTTTAAATGGCAGATCTCGTTTGATCCGAAGAGTTGATTCCACAGTTTGATTCGCCTCAAAGAACGACACGCCTAGGGAAACTTGCGTTATTTTTTGCTCTTCGCCACATTTCAGCCAAATCTCTGTGTTTTTTTTCTATAAGTTTAATTAAGCTAATAAATCGGAAAAAAAGAAAAAAATCTGCAGTCTTATTTACCCTTAAAATTATAAATAAAGGCGACTTGTCGCAGAAAGGAAAATAACAATCTGCAATGATAAAGCTAGTGCATACATCATGGGTAACTTTGCTGTAAAAAGGATATATGTACTCGTAAATGGACGTTTTTATGCTGTGAGGAACTATGTAAATAGGGTTTGAATGAGACATAGTCCCTTTTAGCATATAAATACTCCAAATGTAGATATCGACGGTGAAACTACCAAACCACGTACCTATTTCGGTTTGCGACGTTGCAGACTTCCTGTCGAACTTTATTTTTGAAGGAATAACTACTCAACTTCAATTCTTGAAAATCTCTTTGAGTTTTCTTCTCTGAGCGAAGGAAACTCTGTGTAAACTTGAAGGAATGATATTGGTTTGTTCTCCTAAAATCAAATGGGAGAGGGATAGTTTCTTAAACTTCGCAAACGAGATAAGTGGTCTGGTAGTTTCATCGTCTATACGTGTGATATTAGTTTCTGTAGCAGGAAGGGTCGCCAAATGGACCAAAACTATATTTTATAAAGCTACCGACGGAAAAAAAAGATAACCCTCAGCTACCCGACCGGAATTTTTTGTTTACAGGTTTAGCTCTCTGACTCTTATTCGGCTGATTTCACGTTGGCACCATAGAGAAAAAAAGGAGGTGTTTGCATTTCGGGCATCTCGAAATTGTTTGATGATTTGATGACGTAGGTCGGTACAGCGACGTCCCCTTCACGCTAAACGTCGCTGTACCGACCTACGTCATCAAATCATCAAAAAATTCCCAGATGCCCGAAATGCAAACACCTCCTTTTTTTTCTCTATGCGTTGGCACTGAATATTGCGGAAACCTTCCACTTTCGCAAAATACTCACCCCCGAAATATTCCTCACATTGGAGTAAAATATCAAATTTTCTTACTTTTAAGTGAAAGAGCACTGAGCAAAGATAACTAACTTACGTCATCGCAACCACTGTTAAGAGAGTGAACAGGGATTGGCTGCCACAGCAAATCTGGGTTCCACATCTGCGTTCCGATTGGTGGATAAAGACCTGCCAGATGAAGCTGCACACTCATTATACAGCGATCCAGACGACTCGAAAGGACGAAAATCTCGGCTGGAGAATATGTTGTAGAGAGGAACCCATCATACCGATGCCTCAAGAAGCATCCAAGATTGAACATACTTTCTTTCCCCTTCTGGAAAAAACTCGCAGTCAAAATCGTGTTTTTCTAATGTTTTTTTTTATGTGGCTAAGTGCTGAACACGAAGGAGGGGTCTATGAATTCCAAAAAATAAAAGTTGAGATGATATGTTAACCATGCTCGCAAGAAGGACCAAATTTAGAATGGGGGCAGTGGCGTGGCGCGAATTGCGATATATCGATTGTTATGTCATTTAAAGCTATGGTAAATAATCGATTATTAAGGTGTTCGCTGCGGACACCCTGTTTATCGATCCTATTCCATAGGTTTAAATGGCATAACAATCGATATATCGCAAAGCACGCCACGCCGAATGGGGGCTAGGGAGCTCCCGGTGGAAACCCTCCGCAAGATGCGGAGAGAGCAGCAGAATCGGAAAATTATAAACTTTTTCTTCCTTTTTTCCCCTCTTTCCCCTTGTTTAAATTTTTATGAACTAAAATTTGGAGTCAATATATAATATTTTTTACTCTTTCTTTGACGGCAAAAGCTGAAAGAAGACATGTAAAAAATTACGACAAAAAATATCAAATGAAATAAAAAATAATTGTTTGGGGACCTGTTCTGTTGGTCCTTGGTTAAAGTTAAAGCTACTAGTAAGTAAAGAGTAAAAAACAGCTAAAAAACAGTAAAAACTACTCATTTTTTACGATTTTTGATCAAAATCCAAAAATATCTACACTTCAATATAAGAAGAATTTCACGACTTTGAACAAGTTTCTTACTTTACACTGGGTGCTTTCGAATAAAATACACATTAGACGCATACAAATATTGTGACATGTACGGTTGTTCAAAATATATTATTATTATAATGATATAAAATTTAATATTAGGATTTTGAATCCTGTATTAGCAGGTACTTAAGATATCTGTGGTATGATCAGGTCGAGGTGTCTTTCTTTTACAGTCAGTGGCGAGGCGTGAATGATAGATTTATCGATATTTCATCATTTGAAGCTATGGTAAAGAATCGATTATAAATGTGTTCGTTGCGAATACCCTATTTATCAGTTTATTGATCCTTATACATGGGTTTAAAGGGCGGATCAATCGATATATATCGCACTGTTTAAAGTCGATATTTTGGCGTATAAAACCCGAATACGACTAATCGTCGCGTATTAAACTTCCATCGCCTTGCTAAGGCGCAGGGATACAACTATTTGAACTTACCGGAACGCGTGAGGTATCACGCCTCAATTGAAGGCGTTTTCGAATCTTCTGTATTTACATGACGAGGTTTTCCATATTCTCCATATTTTTTCCCCCCTATTTTCGGCCTTAACGGTCAGACTGCAGTAGCAGCACAGGAAAACCGAAAAACCAAGCGGGGACGCTACATCAATATTTATTTAGCTTCCATCGCCTTGCTAAGGCCCACGGATACAACTATTCGAACTCCCCGGAAAGCGTGAGGTATCACGCTTCAGTTGAAGGCGTTTATGAATCTTCTATATTTACATGACGAGATTTTCCAAATTGGTTTGCATTATATTGTAGATTTGAGTTCCTTTTATTATTTAGTTAAATTACTCCTGCACCTTAATTTTTGGTTATTCTGCAAACACCTTCCATTTGCGAAATACAACCCTGGCTTTAGCGCTCTTAAACTTCCTTAGGTTTTTGCATTTTATTGTAGATTTGAGTTCCTTTTGTCATTGTGTTAAATTATTTCTGCTTCCTAATTTATAATTATTATGCAAAAATTATCCTTTGCGAAATACAATCCTGGCATTAGCGCCCGTAAACTACGGCCTTAACGGTTAAATTTGACGGTAGCGGCACAGGAAAACCGAAAAACAACGCGAGGACGCTACTTCAATATTAAACTTCCACCTCCTTCCTAAGGCGCAGGGATACAACTATTTGAACTCTCCGGAACGTGTGGGGTATCACGCCTCAATTGAAGGCGGTTTCGAATCTTCTGTATTTTCATGACGATACTTTCCAAATGTATTTGCATTATATTGTCGATTTGAGTTTATTTTATTAATTAGTTAAATTATTCCAGCTTCTTAATTTTTAATTATTCTGCAAAAATTATATTTTTGTGAAATACAATCCTGGCTTTAGCGCCCTTATATTACGTTCAACGTCAAAACTGCAGTAGCGGCACACATGGGCGGACTGGTAGTCGAAAAGTTAGGAGGAGACCTAAATGTAAGGGCCCCTCCTGGTGTTCAGGGGGCCCCCTAAAGGAAGGTCCAGGGGCCCTCCGCCGGTAAATTTTGAAAATTACACACTTTTTAAACACGTAGGCATTATTGGAGTTGGATTCTACAATACTTGAACTTCAAAATAACCCATTCTCAGGATTCATCGGGGGTCCCTTCATCACAAATGCTTTTGGCAACCTTCCATGTCTCATAGAGACAAATTTTCAAGGAATTCGTGGCCTTTCAGTGATTGAAAAGGATAAGAAAATTACAACATTACGGGAAAAAACGATGACTCGAAAAAAATTAGCCGCGGGGGCCCCTTCGGGACCTCCGCGGCAAATTGTTAGGGGGCGATCGCCTCCCCGCCCCCTTGGCCAGTCCACCCCTGTCTCTATCACAGTCTGAAAAATACCGATATTGTATGTACAGTATTTTTTATTAGTATTTTTTATGGTATTTTTTACCTGTAATAGCGCTCCCAATCCTTCCGGCCAGGCTGACTCACCCTGGTAAGGGTCGAGAGGGTATGTCCTTTCAGGTGCCCTCTCGCCATGTCGATGGATCTGTTTCAAAAAGAATTGACTTTGAAATACTCTGCCGTGCTCAGGAAAAACGCCGTATGAGCCTTCAGGCGGTTCCAAATTTCCTTTGATAAAACACGAACTTTCTGGTAAACTAATGAATATTTTCCTTCCAATTTTTCAGGTAATTTTGCTCGTAATTTCACATCAAGTCGCTGAAAATTTCGAGGAAAAATATTCATAACTTTCCTCAAAAATTAACAATTTATCGGAGGAAATTTGGCAACTCCCAAGCGTTCATACAGCGTTCTTCCTTAGCACGGCAGTACTGACGTATTCGTAATTTTTTTTTTTTTTTCGATGTCCTTTTGGGCCGAAATTGTAGGATTCTCTTTCCAGAGGATGGAGAATTTGCAGGTGTCTGAAATTGATTAATTTCGTGTTTCAGTAGAAATTGCTAACAATAAGTGAACGGAGCACGAGGATAGCCTTGTTTCATAAATTGAACTATTATTGGAGAAGATATGACAAAATGATCCAATCTGCTAAAATACACGCGGTTAAATGAGAATTGCCGCCAGATGACGTCATTAGGCGGTTAATTTTCTCACTTTTAAATCTATTTTTATACCATTACTCAGATCCGGAAAAGTATAAAAATCCTGAAAAAGCAGCTCTTCAAGCACTCTTCGATAAAGAAATAAAACATTTGAGCGCAAATTCTCTATTGACCCTGTCGACTGACTGAATAAAAGTTCAGATTAATTTGTTTCTCCTCTTTTTTCAAGGTGAGTCCTTCAAAGTTGGGGACATTTTTACTTTTTTTAAATAGTGACCATCCACAAGAAAGAGGCCGTACCTCTGTGGACTGAAATCCGTTTTTTAGGAAGCAGTTTTTGTTAGTTGAGTTAAATCTGTTAAATAATCAGAGTGAAAAAAAAACCCTCGGAAATGCCATTGAATTATATTAAATTTTCCCCCGAAAAAGCCAAATCTCAAATGCCGGCCAGGGGAAGTTTTTTTTTTTTTTTTTTTTTTTTTTTGTCCTCGACTTTTTATGGGGAGTTTTTTTAGGATTGGGTCGGGGTGGCTACCGCCACCTAGAATTGATTTATGATATCTTGCACTAAAAGTTGGATTTTTGATTTCTTAGCGGTTCATAATCTTTGACTTTGAGGCGGGCTCTTAATGCTATATAGATAAAAATAAAAAGGTTCATACTCACAACGCTCACAAACCGAAGTGTCGCTTCTGCTGGAGGTTTTCTCTCGATTAAAAAGAACCCCACGCACGCACTCAAAACGGAGGTTCCCAAGACCAGGGCTAAAATAATACTGATTTTGTGGCTCTTAATGCAGAGTGCAATAGACATCTCCCCGCCCGATACCATAATAATTAAATTTTAATTTAAATAAATAAGAGAAAATAAGATTAATGAGTATGTATATCGTAATAAAAGAACACATAAGAGATATACCTAATAAGAGAAATAAGAGAGAATCAAAACCTAGATTTTTACTTTCAATGTCTGTTTCACGTTTCAATATGAAATAGAGAATCACTTTTTAACAGAGATATACTGAAATAGAGTCTTTTAGATTGGAAAAAATATTTCTTCAAAACAAAAGGAAGCATCATATTGATTAACTTTACCGCACGTGATTTTTCACAGACCTCTACGTGATAATCATGGCTCTCGATCATAGGCGGATCCAGATACTTCGAACGGGAAGGGGGGGCGGAAAGGGGGGGGGCAGGGGGGGATTCTCCCAAGAAATTTTCGAAATTTTACACCATCTAATGTGCAGTTTGCAGTGTCAATTTCGTCAGCACTAAATATAAGCGTCCTCCCAACTACTATCTTCATCTCCTTCCTTCTTTCTCCCTTCCCTCCTCTTCCTTTTTTTTGAGCGAAGGGAGGGGGAGGGGGGGCAGCTTACGTCCTCTACGCCCCACAGTGGATCGAGTCAATCAGAGAGATCGGACACAAAATTTTAGGCTAATACTGCAAATTTTTATACTTATTTCGTCACATTTTAAAGTTTTAGGGGTGCTTCTAGAAGAAAATTTCGCGAAGATACCAATGGAATCACTCTTAGAACCTCAACATTTTGTATACATGAAGTTAAAAGCTTTTAAAGTTTCCAAATTTTGTCCGACCTCTCCTATTGACGCAATCCACTGTGCGCCCCCCTCGGTTCCGCCTACGCTCTCGATAAACTAAGCACCTCAAAAACGTCTCACATTAGCTCATAGAGAGTGCTTAAATTTAAACTGGAAGATAAATCGAAATTTCAAGTTCAGGGCGAGATTCAAGTGTGAATCTGGAACTCATGAAGATTATCTGCGAGCAATTAGCTAAATCACTCAAGGGTAAACATTCCATCATTATCTTGAGTTCGTGCTGATAATATCATTCACATTAAGTAGACACTGTAGGTATGACTTACAGTCTTCGGAATTCACTTCCTAAAAAGCTTAGTAGCCCAGCTCTCACCTTGCCAAAATAAAAACCATCAAGTGAACGTGCCGGAGGGAGAGGGGTGCATAGGACGTGTTTACTCGTGTTGGACACATTTTTTGCAAAAGCCCTGTCAACCTGCTGTCAACACTACTAGCAAAAGTTCACGGAACTTGGCGCGAAAGTTAAGTTCCGTAAACCAATCTCTGTGTGGACAAGGCCTTCCATTTATATGAAATGAACGAAAAAATTATGAAAGATCAAACATAAATGTGGTTTTATAATTTTAACTTCTGCCGCTGCGACGCTGACCGCACTGTGTTTGGCGCAATGCGTCAAGTGTTCCTACAGTCTTGTATGCGCTATGCGTTTCACGCCGACCGACCGCTTCTGCACGAACTGTGTTCGACGCAATGCGTGAAGTATTCATGCAGTCTTGTAGGCGCTATGTGTTTCACGCCGCCCGCTGCTGACCGCACTGTCTTTGACGCAATGCGTTAAGTATTCGTGCAGTCTTGTAGGCGCTAATATGTGTTACATGCCGACCGCCGCCGCGCCGCGCCGAGGGTTTCTCCTTTTCACCTCTATAGGCCTCGTCATCATTGCTCTCTGCGCCGCGCCGCGCCGCGCCGTTCTAGGCCAAATTCCGTGTTCGGTTTCTCTCTTTGTCTTAACTCGACCAATTAAAGGTGCTGTCTATTGTATCACAGAAAGACGACGAAATTAGCGATGTACTCTCAGGAAATGAGATATTTTGTCACCTTTTCTCGTTTGTAATTTATTTACTGAATCCGATTTTCTTCATGCCTACATTTTAAAAAATTGCAAAATTTGCCGCCCCCTAATTTGCCGCCATGACCGCTAAATCCGGCCCTGTCCCAGTGATAGAATAATGGACATGAACGCCGACGCCACCAGTAATAAATTGGCACCTATGAAAAAATGACACTGGAGAGCCTTCGAGTGATAAGCATTTAGCAATTTTTCAAAACCAGGGTATTCCCGAAAATTTATAAAAACACAGAACAGATCCTTAACAGAACTTGTGTGTATTTTTCTCCAAATTTTTAGAGAGTTTCTCATTTTAATCTAGGTACGGCGTCTGAAACTCCAAGGAAAAATATTACAATTTCCCTAAGAAATGGATGTTCCAGAGGAGGGAAATTTGGCAAAAGCTACGTAAGCACAGTAGCATGTTTGATACTATCGAGCATTGAGCTGACGCGCCGCGACGCGCCTAAAAACGTCAGCGTAACGAGAATTGCAGCCTCTCTGATTGAAGGCGTTTTATTTCTACGCAGACATCTATCGCATGTGCCCACTGCGCATGCGCTATGCGCTTCAAGCCTGTCCCTTCCCCTCTCCTCACCATCTCATTGCGGACTGATGATTGATGAACCAAGTGGCATGACCAAAATGCTGACAGATGTTTGTCGGCTTTTTGATGCGAAAAATTTATTTGAAGGAAAACAAACATGGCCTCAGCTGTGGTTCAGTGAAGTGAATAGTCATGAAGCTTTATTTAATTAGTCTTTTTGGTGTCTACTGCCATGTTTTCTAATCCATCAGCCGCTTCAGACTTCCTCAACTATGATTTTGATAAGGAAGAGAATGCTGCTAAGTGGAAAGGTGTATTTTTGAACCCCCTGAGAAAGGTAAGCAGAGACCACTCTTCATGGACATAAACACTTTATAACACTATTTTTTGCAATTCTCGGGGGATTTATCCATCACAATCACCGTACTAACTGAACTTAAATTCAAGCCAGTTTCTGATGCAACTTTACGACCCCGAAGAACTTACGAGCTCTTCGCCCCAGGTTTTGCTTTTTCAGTCCCATCATCAACAGTTGAAATGATAACAACATAATTAGTGACTCATTTCATATTTGTGTCCACCAACACATTACACCCTCAGTTCTCTTAGTCTTATCAGTATTCAATACGTCCTCGAGTTTTATCATTATTCAATTTCCAAGATGGTTATAATTTGCCGCAGTCAAATTTGAATCCCGGGAAAATGTTTAACCTATTCTCAGTGAATATGTTCTCGGTGACTCTATCAGTTCCTCGGAACTGAAATCTTTGGTACTGTCTTCAGAATCTTATCAGATGCCACCATTAACCGTCACAAGGTTCAGTTCTATTACTTACTCCCTATGTGCGCCATCACCAGAGAAATCTCAGATCTTGATAATGTAGTATGAATGATCTTCCTTCATCGTTTCATCTGTATTGTTGGTACAATGCACTTCAGCATGATACTTAGCCACTCTCTGTTGAAGTTCTGTACTGAGAGTCAGGACTGAACCTAATTGGAATTTTCTCATAATTTTACCTCTAACCTTCCCTCATCAATTCTCAATGAGATAGTTTAGTATCTATTGATGAATAAGCTTTTAGGGTTCTGTTATACAACTTACTTCTATGTTTAGCATTACTCTTCATGGAAGATGCACCGGAAGACATGCATACATTTTTCTTTTCTGGTAATTGTCTTTCTTAAGGCCAAGCTGCTATCTGCCCAATACCTGGTTTCTGGGTTTCAGCATAACGGTATTCCGGTGCATCTCTATTTAAACCCAAATTTATACGCGAATTCGGCATTGTGTGCTGGTACTGAAATTAGTTGCTGATGCTATGTTGGTAGATATTTAGGTATAGTGTTTGTCCTTACAATGCCCAAGCTTTTGTTACTTTTTCTGAATCATCCACGTATTAGTGTTTTTTAGCTCTTTGAAGAAAGAAAAACTTAAATGTACTTAACCAAGTTGCTTTGATAATTTCCTTTGAGTAAGAGAAAATTGGCACAGCATAACTTGCTTGGTTTTGACGTAGTCAATCTTTTCAGTTCTCGCTTCCTTTAACTCATCCAAAATGATGTAATATTCGGGGAAGGCTAATTATGTTCCTTTTTTATCTTTTGACAAAAAAATTATCCAAACTGCCCTAGGACACAAGAGAGAGTCTCCGATCCTTTCCTTAAAGTTTGATATTGTAACTGAGCTTAAGTCTTGCTGCTCTACAGACTGGAAATTTTAGATCCATGGATTATGTCTTCGAAGTCTTTTTTCCTATGGATGATCTTATACCAAGTTGTGCTTCAAGCATTTCATTTTACACACTTGTAGTCATCCAAAGTTTCCTTCGATGAAAAATTTTCCTGTACTTAATGTACCCGTGATATTATTAGAAGGTGGTTTATGTAAGATGCTTGTTCACAATCCACTGTATACTTTATAGCGCTTTGTTCATATCTATTCATGCACCTGCAGAGCATATCGACAATGAATGTGAAACTCCCTCAACTTGTATCTCAGTTTGCAACATTGCAGATTTCCTGTCATACTTCATTAGTAAAAGGGAGAACTACTTAACGTCAATTCTCACAAATTTCAGTGATTTTTCATCTTTGTACGAAGCAAATGCTGAAAAAACTTTAAGGAATGATGTTGATTTGTTCATCTTCAAAAAATGAAACAGATGCAAGGATTTTTAAATACTGCAAACAAGATATGCGGTTTGCAAATTTTACTGTTGACATACACTTTTACCATTCTCTTTACACCTTGAACTCTGTTACTTGGAAAATTGCTGCCAGATTGAGGAGAGAAACAGGAGAAGGAAATACATTTCAAAAAAACGCTGAATACTTGTCCTTTTTCTCCATAAAACCGTCCACCTCTTTTTGTGAACAAAAATATTATACCACTAATGCCAATTCTTCAAACCCTGCATCATTTCTGAAATATGTTTTGTCTGTTACAGGTGTTAGAGCAGGTGCATCCCTCCCTCACAGCTCGTGAGGATGCGCTTGAGTATGTCGAAAGTCTTATTTTGCGGCTTCTTTGCACGCTGTGCGAGAAGCCCTCTCCTCACTCGGTCGTGGACGTAGAAACCAGGGTGAGACAGACTTTTCCAACCCCTATTGACAAATGGGCCCTGAACGAAGCCAAAGAGGCCCTGGAGAAGGGGAAGAAGAAATCTCCTCAACTCGTGCTTCCAGTCGACAAAATTCATCACATGCTACAAAAGGTATAATTTCTGATTAGGTAGCAGAAGAAATCAGGATTGCTACTTTTCTTTATTATTCAAACTCTCAGGAACGTGGTCAGATTTCATGATCAACTAAAGTCTTTCTGGAACATGTGCTGCCCGAAAAATAATGCACTGGTTACTTCTGCTAAAATCTCCAATGCGTAGAAGTTTGCTAATGACTACAGACCTGTTATAAGAGCTAAATAACAGTTCAATTTAGTGAGCATATCCTTGCAGTCAAAGAAGTGACTTCTAGGAGTACAGCATCTCAGAACCTGGAATTCCATGAAAATCAATGCTTGATGCTTTAAGTCTTGTCCTGTTGTAATCATAAGTTTTCCATCAGTTTGCTGGCGTCAGCTTCATAAGCCTGATGAAGCATCATACACCACAGGAACATCTGGGCGTTGGATCTATGAGGTTGATAAGCCAAAAAACTCCTTTCTCAGAGTATGCACAGTACTTTGTATGCAGTGAATTATCAATGGCTCATATTTGTTAAAATTTCAACGTTGTCAGGTTGGCCGAATTTGTATGTATATAGTTATGTTATTTATCATCTTTTTCAGGAGGTACTGATGTACAAAATAGAATCCCAAGTCACACTTTACATAGTAGCTGTTTTGGAATACATCGCTGCTGATATTCTCAAGGTAACACACACTCACACTTATATGGTTGCTTGTTCTAGTGAGGCTAGCGTTCGAACTTGTGACTTTTTTTGCTCCAATGAGTTGAAATCCTCCTCCTCTCTATAGTTTTATGGGAGGAGTGCAGAAAGTTCTAACTGCAAATTGAATCAAGCCTCCTTTTTTTAACCAAAATTAGTAATAGCTTCTCCCTAAAGAAATCAGACTTTTTCACCGCTGAAATGCTACATTTTGCATAGGGCTCTTCCATATTGTCCTGTTTCAGAATTCAGAATGGTCTCATAATTTGATTTTAGCCTTTATGAAACAACCTCGATTGTTAATTTTGGCCTTATTGGTGCAAAGGGTATTGCATGAAATTCTAGTCTTTTTGAGTCATCATTTGGTGCTCACACAATGTGTTCCTCAGAAATGAAAAAACGTAAAGTAACGTAAGTACGTAAGAAGTAATTTTCAAAAATATCTTACAGGAATAGTAGTAAATGAGTAAGAAAACTGAAGAAAGGATTAAGGTAGATTGTATGTTTCTCTAAATAGGAGTCAAGAAAGAGAAGGGACTTATCATCTCTGAAAATGTTCTCTTGTCAATTTTGTCTACAAAATCTGAGTGATTAAATTTAAAGTTAATGGAAAAAAAAGAATAATAACATCATTAAAAATGTGAAAATCAGCTCCTTTGATTCTCACTGTTTTAACCCACAATTTGGAAACTGACTTTGGCCCCTTTTTTCAGTTGGCTGGTAACTATGTAAAAAACATCCGCCATGTTGAAATCAGCTGTCAAGACATTCGAGTTGCCATGTGTGCAGATAAGGTGAGTTCATAATTCTCTTCTTCTTTGAAATTTATACCAGTAAAATCTCTATGTATTCATGGAAAACTAAGAATACAGTATTGTGTATGATTTTGCTTTTTCTTGCTTTAGATTGGTTTTTAAGTAGCTTTGCAGCTTAAAAATTGGGCTTCGCTTTCCAATCATATCAGGTGTCTCTTAAAATGGATCAGCGGTGTGGATCTGTGAAGTATTTGATGTAAAATCAACATTCAAAGACAGCAAGTGTTTTCAAAGCACTTGATTACAGTTCTTGTTTGTTTCACTGGGTCAAATTGACTAATCTCCTGAAATATGATCCGTTGATGGAAAATCAGCAAAAATTAGACACTCTCGGATTAAAATTTTAGCTTATGAAAGACATTATGACTCGTTTGGCAATATTTATAAAAGTAGATCTTGACTTCAGAGCACAAATCAATAGGAGAAGCTTAAAAATATGTATCTTAATTGCAACCTTTCAGAATCTTCACTCTTAATGTAAGGAATTCCATTCCTTATATTAATTGTTATAGCTGCTACTCCTAAAATGTTCCAAATCTTCACTCTTTTTTAAGCTTTTTCAGAAACCTGTATTTTACTTGAAACCCTCAGAAAATTCTTGATTAAATGAAATTTTTTTTGAAAAGCTTGTCTATGATTGGGGTGAGGGATTTTTTATACAAGATAAAAACTGAAGTCTAAGAAAACTTTCTTGTATTCATGAACGGTTACATTACTTATTGAGAATAAACTCAAACTGAGAATGGCGCATGAGAAAGAGTAACTATGCTGGAAAATTTCTGACAGATCTCTGAATACATTCTCGGATCGAGAGATATTTCCAAGCATTATTTTTAAATTTATCTTAACCAATCAGTACACTTGTGAAGAATCATTAGGTTAATCAATGAAATCGGTAGAAAAACCGTACAAAACATTGAGATGAAGTTGAAACTTATTGAAGGCAGCTGTTAGTTCGATCACATGATGGCCTTACTTGGTCAGATTTTAGATCAGTCATCAAGAAACTTGAGTATTTTATGAATTTTATCTTGTAATGCTGGAGATCTCATGATCCAACTGAGCACTGAAAGTCCTTAGTTTCAGCTAAGTCTAATAATGACTAGTGTAGCTGCAATATTGTTGTAATCAGCTTGCTCTGTTGTATAGAAGGTAGAACATTGATTTTGTCATCAATTCTTTTTTTAATTTACTGTGAAAGAGGTAGGTAAAAATCACTTGTAACTTCGAAAAGACCTCATTGAGTTCAGTATTTTTATTGGAAAACTAGAGTTAGAATTGACTTGCAAAGTTACTGCTATGGATCAATGTTATCTCAAAACTTCCATACTGCCAACGAGTACTACACGAAAATTATGCGCTTTCATGCTATGTCTTTATTTGGTTGATAGCTTTTTCAAATTTGTTTCCTTCAAACATGAGTCATTTAAACGACTGACAAAGGATTTACTCCTATCATCAAGAGAATACATCACCATCCTATGAATTTAGTCAGCCACTCATAGTTTCAATGACTTCATTTTTACTTTTCCCTGCTTAAGCAGCTATCAAGTATCATGAAACCCTTTTTTGCTAGAATTTCCCGTAAGTTGTTCAAGTTTAAAGTGGCCTAGAAATCTCTTCATCCCCTGAAAGAATATACAGTTTGTTACAATTTACACCAGCATAATATGAAATTGATTGCCCTTGAATACCTTTCCCAATTTTAATGCAATATGACGCAGCGATCTAACATCTCGCTTGTGTATCTCAATTCTTTCTTCTAATGGCACTTAAGAATTTCGACAGTTAACATTAATTTATACACATTTAAAATCTAATTCAATCTGGAATTTGATACTCTCATTAAATCCTCTCATCATCACTTTGTTTGAAGGGAACTAAAGCTAAAGATCATTTGCTTTTCAGCTTTTAAAACAATTTATTTTATTTTCATTTGCTCTCTCTGGCTTCTCTAGGTGGTACGTAGTTCCAACACATTCCACATGACATGCTTATTTTCGTATTGTCGTGCTTTCTGTCTTGACCTCTCTCTCTCTCTCCCTCTCCCCCTTTCTCTCTTGTGTGATCTTTTGTACCCCTGTTTTTACTGCAAAGGGCAAAGAAACCAAAGTGCTTCTGAAAGCCTTAAAGCCCCTCTTTGTTATTCCTTAGGGAAAAGAACCCATTGTTAGAAGTGTCCATGCTTGCCATAATAACCAAGGTTATATGAAGTCGGCGCACTAAGTCCTGTAGCCTGTTTTTTGAAAACAGTATTTTAATATGCCTGAAAACTTAAATTGAATTCGTTTAACCTCATGCACGTTCAAACTCCGTCACAGAACCCGAACCTGATTTCATACTGTTTGGAACTTATGCTTCTCTTAAAACAAAAAACAAATGACAACATGAGAAGTCGATTTTTTCTCTTAAACTGTATAATTTTCTGCATAAGCATGTTTCTCAGGCTACATTAATTATGCTTCAAAATTTATTTGGCCTTGAAACTACCTAATCCAAGTTATATTTGTCTTTCGTTCAAAATGTAACAGTTGCGCACCTTAGGTTTCATAATATCATTGCCCTCTTTCCATTGATTTTGTGATGCTGCCAACTTTGTACTGATTTTCATTTAATCACCATAGCATTAATTACTTCTTGACAATCTCCGAAGACATGAGTTTTTTTTTAATACAAAGAAAAATTATACAAATTGCCAGAAAAATATATGCAAAGCGTACTTTATAAAAATATTAGAGATTCATATGTATATGATCAGCCCCATGCAAAGGACCCTATTATTGAAAAAGTGAAAATTGAGATATCAAAACCAATTTTCCAATCATATTTGATAAAATTGTTTGCGCCAAAAATTTGTCGACATGCACTGGAATCGGTTTGCCCGCGGGTGGCCACCAAGTCCTTTCTCTTGACATCTGGCCGTTGCCAAGCCAATATGTCCCTTTATGCGAGCAGTATAAAAAATTCAACTCTGTCTGTTTTCAATTTTATATAATCTACAAAAGTCCGTACTCTTTTTCTCTTCATAATTTTGATACTTCTGCTTGTTCTCTTCCCTTGTGATTTTGTTTGCACTTTGTATAAAATGTTTCTCTTATCTTAATCCGAAAAATGAGAAATTACCCCCTTTGGAGCTCCATCAAGAATTAATAAAATAAGTATATAAGTAGCCTTGACACCTTTTGTTTATTAGTTTTGAACTATCTGCTACATTGAAGCTTTTGAATCCATTCCTGGATCATCAGGCACATAACAACTAAAGCACCACCAAATTAGAAGACATGCGTAATAACAAGACTACATGTCTCATGCTACAAGGCTACAAGTTTAACGTGGTGTTGAACAATGAAATTGAAATAGTTTATACAAGCAGAAACTACAAGCATGAATGACTACAAGCATTCCATTAAGAATGATCTGCATATCCATTTCTATTCATTCCAGTGCTCTTTATGTCATAGCACAAATTTAAAAAAAATCAAGATTGTGCTCATAAGTATTCATGTTCTAAAAGACATTTGAAGTGATTTACACTCCGAATACGTACGAGGTCAGCATCAAAGCATCATATTTATGCAGCTGATTTCGTTTCGAAAGAATTAATGGTGTTTTTTAATATCCTCTCACTGCATGTATCATTATACTGGACCTCCCTATTTTAAAAAGACAGCTTTACAGTAGCCTGACCTCTCCTGTAATCTAGTATTTTAGGAAAAGCCCATGACATAGATTCAGTAAACCTTTTGTAAGAACTCATTAATTTGATCCGAAACGATGTAGGAAAGATAGACTTTAGAAAAGTTGCCAATTTGAAGATTTTACTTCCTTCAAAACAGGATCTGGTAATGGAAGTGCCACTGAAAGGGTGTGGCATGGAAGTGCTTTGTAACAATTTTCTCCAATGCTCTGCACTCAAAAACACAATTTTTCTCTCATATCATGCATTGAACCTTCTTTTTTCCCTGTTTCAAAAAATTCTTGGATTTTATAGAAATTCATAGTCAAAACCATGTCAAGGCTCTTGGGAGGTCCTTATTTTTTCCCTGGCAAGCCGGAAAAATTAATAAAATCCTAATCTCAAAAATTTTATCTCCAACAATTACGAAAAGTATTGAGATCTTTCAACAATATCGCACAATCCTTTGTAAAGCAACTTATCTCCTCTCATTCTGAGTTTGATTTCAATTTAAAATGAAGTTTAAACGTTTCTTTTGTCTTCTTCAAAGGAGGTGTGAATCTGATTCTTTTTACCTAAACTCAGGCGCCCAAATTTTCATTCAAGTAAGTTCTTAATACATTTCAAAGCCAAATGCAGCTCTCATGCTTACAAATGTCCGAGTTCCGCTGCTTTTTCTTCTGACTAATGACGTGTTTTCAACCGGCAGGTATTAATGGATATGTTTCATCAGGATGACAATAGCCCAGCCCTTCTAACTTCAGAAAGTTATGAAACGCCAAGATCATCAACATATGAAGAAACGGTTAGAGATTTAATTCAAGATGAGAAACAACATCTAAGAGACTTACATATGATCATCAAAGTATTCTGTGAAGAAATCAACAAGCTCATTCAACCTGGTGAAAACAAAGTACGTCATATTAATTTTTATTGCTTTATAGTAAATGTATTAAGTATGCAAAAGAGGTGATGAAGGGCTTGCCCGGATTAACTCGTAATTTTTCAGTGAATAGGAGCACTTTTAACAGTGCCTGGTAGGTATTTTACAGGGAATTGCTTGGTACATAGTCACCAACTATGGGGATTTCTTTCCTTTCTTTTGAGGAAAAAAAAAATTTAAAATATGCAGTTATTTTTTTATTTTTGTGTTAATTTATTTTAAAAGTAACCAAATCACATTGCAGCTATTTTTTTAAACATTTTGTTGAAACAATTCTTTGTTTTCAATTATTAGTGAAAAGTGTCTGTTTTTAGAAGCATTAAAACAATTCACCTGAAAAGATTTCTATTCACATGAAACTGCGATCTAACCGTGATGAGAACTAAAAATTGCTGTCTAAAACTTGTACACGTAATGGCAGAGGCAGCAGCGCCACATTTGGGTACTGTACAACCGTTCAAAGCTTTGAGCCAACAAAGAAAAACTTGACAAAAATCTTGTCCGTTAAAATTGCGTTACAAAGAGAAACTAAATATCGGAACAAATTATGGAAAAGTCTTGAAAAGTGCTAAAAGTTCTTCAAAAAGTGCTTGATTAATTATCCTTGCTGCACGAATTATGATTTAAAGGATATAATCATTTTCTAGTCTCAGTAATCTGTAGTGTAATGCATTGTGTTCTTTCTTCCAGGAATTAGATGCCATGTTCGCAAACATTATGGACATTTATGAGTTAACTGTAAATTTATTGGGCCTGCTAGAAGACATCGTCGAAATCAGTGAAGAAAAACAGGTTCCTGCGATTGGAAGTTGTTTCGAAGAACTCGCTGAGGTTTGCTTGCTCATCATTTATCTTCCTGGTCTTTACTTTGTATCTCAGATTTCTTCAAATTGAGTTGACTTAACCAGTAGCACCATGTAGAAATCTTTGATTACAGTTAGTTTTACAAAACATCTGATTTTGGAATTCTCAGTTCGTAAAATTGTATCTTCATTTATTTTGTTTTCAACATGCATTCTTTTTTTCATGGTAACGTCCATGTATATGAAGGGAGGAGGGGAAGCCCAAAAAATCTGTAATTTGCATGAGGAGTGCCAAGCAACTTTCATGCTATCCAAGGTCAGTCATTTTCATAAGCAACGTAAGGTGTTAAAATATTTGTTTTTCCTACCAGAAAACGTGGCTGACGTTGTCAGCCTTTAAGTATGCCCTATGAAGAATATGCTCCATTGAAATTTCCCTTGCCGTGCTTAAAGGGTTTTCTTGCTTTAAAAGATGAAGTTAGCTGCAAAACAACAACTTAGACGCTCTGCAGGTTACACAACCCTACAAAAACTGCAGGAGCTGACTTTGAACAACATAAGCTGTACTCTCTTGCAAGTTCCAATGTAACAACAATTTCTGCCAGTCTGCCAAAAGCTACCATATTGAGGTTTTACTGAGATATATTCTCCCTGATTTTCATTTGACAAAATTTTGATAGATTTTATTTAATTTTCAGGCTGCTGAGTTCGATGTCTATAGCCGATATGCCAAGGATTTAGTCGTTTTCCGAAACCAAGAAGTGCTCCTAAAATTAATCAATAAGCCTGAGATCTCACATGCGCTGCAGTCAGCAGGTCATGGTTTTCGCGAAGCAGTCAGATATTATTTTCCAAAACTTCTACTTTTCCCTATTTGGCACTGCTTCTTGTATTTTGACTACATCAAAGTAAGTAGTAGCCCCCTAAGAATTCTATTTCACTGTCATGATTCTTTATACTTTGATCATTATTTCAGTGTACATTGTTTTTATTAGTTTGAAAAGTTGAATCCATTAAAATAAAAGAAGATCCGTGGGCGATTAAAACAAAGGCTGAACAAGCTAAAGAAGAAATATAAGAAGCAAAATCGTACGTTGAAAACTATTCACACAAGAGAAAGCTCGGAAATCAACTCCTGAACAAGATATTAACAGGCATTTTTGACAAGTATCAAAAGGATGTTGAATTATGCAGATGATGTCATTTGTATTTTTTGCGATTTAACCCATGTCAAGCTTAAGTACCTATATCTTATGTAAAAGTTGATCTTCAAACCTCCTTTTGTGTTATTTGTTGGTTTTATTTTTTTCTGAATTTTGGAATGGAAGAGCAATCACTCACTGAATTGCTGAATTTTTAATATTACCCTTTGAAATTTTGAGCAAGATTTAGTTTGTAATATTTTTATGTCTTAAATATCTCATTATCTATCAATATCTTCATATTTCTCAGAATAGCAAATATCATAAAGAAGAAAAGGAAGGAAAAAATTTTGATTTCAAATTGTCTATCAGCTAATTAGTAAATAGAATTTTTTAATTTGATTTTTTCGTATGAAGTAGCTCAGGAATAATTTTCCTCTTTTTATTTTTTTTGCCCAGACACTACATAAGCTTACGCCTTTGAATGATGATCGAGAAAGCTTAGAACAAGCTGAGGGGATTCTGAAGCCTCTTCAAATGGAGCTTCAAAATATTTCAACCAGTCTACCAAAAAGGTATGTGTTATTGTGTTATCCTAGATCAATTCTGAATTCTGATGCATGAAACATTCTTTTCTGGCAATTATAGATAAAACCTCATGATGTTCTCTATTCTTGTGCCCATCTGAACTGAGGTCTGTCTGACCTCATTTGACTGCCGGAAAATCGCAATTTATATATTTTTGTAATACTTTATGTCAAATGGCTCGGTTCATTTTTTTTTGCCAGGAGAAGCGTAACATTGCATCATAGTTAGACAATTTTGAGCCCTAAACATGGCAGACTGAAACAGACATTTCTCAATTTGAAAAAAAAAATTAGCCGATCTTAAATCCATTTTGCAAGATGTCTACCGATTTGGAATGTCTAAAATAGTACTGATTTTTTTAAGGGCGGGCCGCAAGTACTGAAAAAGCACAAAAATTCTGCAAGAAGGTCCTGAATTTTCATGCTTTGACTATATTTTACGATAATCTGGAAAGTACAAGATCTCCTGCTCTTTGAACCTTAGCTCAGTATTTGCTAACTAGATCGTGATTGTGCAGCCAGTTGATCTTCAAGTGACTAATAAGCTTCGAATTTCATGCCCATGACATTTTTGTCATGTATCAAGTGTGAATTTCGTTACATTAAGGCTCTGAAAAGCACTGAATTTCTCTGTTGGGAAAAAACTAAATGTTTTGGGAAAGTACTGAAAAAATGCTGTAAAAGTACTAATAATTTGCCTACAAGTTTTAACAGACACCCTGCTTTTGTACCCAAAAATAAACAGATCGGTAAAGTTGTGACAAAATTTGTTCCTTACAAAATTTATACAGTATTGTATTGAATGTTGTAATAAAAAGTTGTATGTATGAATTGTTGTCAAAATTTTTTATAAAATAGGTTTATTCAACAGAAATTTCTTTTCAGTTTCAAAGTTACATTTTTTAAGCTCTGATTGTCAAGATTACAGCTCCGTTGGATGACAGCTTATTTTTTGTGCTAAAATTTCCACCTAACGCCTCTTTAATCAATGATGTGCACCAATGTTTTAATGATGAATTTTTAGCGCTTTAGATCCTTATTTGGTAGATCGTCAAGTATCATGTTTCTATTTCAATGCTGATAGTTCTAATAGTCATTGATTCTAAATTCATTCATTTTCAGTGGGAGGGAAACCAGTATTAGAATGCACGGAAGGGTCCGACGGCAAACAGCAATAGAAAAAACTAACGAAATGCAGAAGATGGTGTATGGATGGGAGACAAATAATGTAGGACAATGTTGCAATGAATTTATTAGAGGTGAGTCTAGCCTAGTAAAATTGTTTACATTTTTACCCTGTGAAAATATTTTTTTTCTGATTGCATTCATAATAAATAAGCCTTTCAATCTTCTTTCTTTAAAAATGTGAGTGAAACACCAAATATACCTTGAGACAGACTATCATCTCAATTTGATTCTTTACCATAATGGATTCAAATGTAGGGGGAAGAAATGTTGATATTATTTTTGTAATGATCACAAAGATCTAAGGTTTTTATTGTTGTTTTTTGGCGAGTAGGTATAATACGGAAAATGATTTCTTACAGGTATTGCAGGATTCTGAGATGACCTTAATGTTTCCCAACCAGACCAAAGAAAGATTGACAATTGCAATAAATGTCAACAAATTTAAAACAATGCTGAACATATTTAACAAAAAGCTGGATGCTATCAAAGTGTTCTTTCCCTTTTTGAGCATGAGCCTTGTTTTAAGCCCTTATTCCTGAATTTTTAGCGTACTTGTACGCAAAATATTATGTTGTTATTAAAATTAAAAGAAACAATATGTTCAATTTTTATAATTTTTGTCGCTCATAATTTCCATCAAAGATATCTCATGATGGTCTAAATAAAGTTTCAAAAGATATTGATGTTGTCAGGTTTTTAAACCTGCAGGTTTCATTGGCTTTGAAGTGAACCGTGACTGATGTTTCTTTTATGGTTTTTCAGAGGATATTCTAGGCAAACTTGGCTTTGGAGGTAGAAGACTGACCGAGAGAAAAGCTTACTTATTTGACGGCCTGCTAGTCCTGTGCAAGCCAAACAACAAGCGGACCTCCGTCTCGGTGACAGCACCTCTGGGGGGTAGCAATCAAGGCGAATACAAGTTGAAGGAAAAGTTTTATGTTAGGAAAATAGAAATTGTTGATAGAGAAGATTCTGATGGTAAGAAATTGTTGCTACTCTTTGTCAAGATTAGTGTAAGTTGCTTGTCTTCATTGCAGGGTGGTTATTTACTGTCATAGATCTGTTGATAGATTGACAAATTAGATTTTTCATACATTTATGATGAAAACTCTATTTTGAACTCTGTTTAAAACTGATGAAGTGGTGACGAGCAAAGTCATTGATGAGTAGAATTATAGTACAGGGTTGAACAATTAACTCCCTTTGGCATTAATTTTTTCTGGATTTTGGATTCTGGGGGACAGGCATTTACGTTGTAGCTTTCGTAAAAATATAGAGTCCCAAAGTTTTTTCATAAAATTTCTAATTTTCGGCAATCTTTTTTTCAAAAAAGGAAACTCTGCCGAAAATTTGCGAAATCATTCGACACAAGAAAGATTCAATTTTTAAGAAACCAAAAATTGCGTTGTTACAAATAAGTAATACCATGCCATTATGGGTATGTTGAAAAAACTTTATTCTTTTCTACCAATCTGGAAACTTGATTTTCCAAATGCAGTAAAAAAGTGCACAGGGAAGATTAACAGCTGATATAATGAAACTTAATCTCCAAAAAGTACAGTATTCGTGTTTGACTCTGCTCTGCCTCATCAGCGACTGAGGTGTAGGGAACAGCAGCACCAATGTTTGCACAAGCCCCATCAATCCATGTAACGGAGGGTTCAATTGCTCCTTCGGCAACTCAGTTTTTCATAGATGTCACTGTGGTTACCACCTTAGGGCGGAAGGATCCGCATGTATTGGTGGATTTACAGTCAGATCTATCATAATCAGATCTGAATCGCATTTTCATAAATATGTAGCTTGCAGCAATCAAGGTCAATCGATGAGGCAAGTGAATAATCACCCTGTTGTAAATCATCTCCTAGATCAGCTCATCATCTTGTGTTCATAACCGATTTGCACTATATCATTTTTTTTATCACTTTCCTCCTTTTTAAAAGCTTTTTCTTCAAAGAAACTGAGTTCAATACCTCCTTGCTGTATCATAATTATGAAACATTTTTTATACCCTTGCTTCTCAGTACTGCCTTCTAGTTTGAGACAAACGGAATATAAAACAGCAGCCTGTAACATACAAAACATGTGAAAAACAAGGGAGAAAATTGCGAAAACAAGGCTAAAACGTATATAAGAGAAAATTCAGGACGTCTCAATATCTGACGACGTTACATTATTATAAACTGCTGAAAGAAAAATAACTGAAACTAGCATCAAACAATGTGTTTGAAATTCCGGCAATTGCATGGTAGTGACAATGATTAACTGGTGTTTTCTATGTATTTTTTGACTTGAGTTTTAATTTATTTTCCTTCTAGCAGTTGAAAATGATGTTGTAAGACATCAAAACGTCCTGCCTTTATTACTATGTTCGTTACTAGCCATTTCTCTGCAATTTTTCCCCAGTTATTATTCAGTTGTTTCTAGTTAAATCAAACAGTTTCTCTGAAACACAGGCAAACTTGAGTCTGTCTGAAAATGGACCTGTTCCTTTTGAAAACAACTGGTTCATTTGAGAAGTTACGCTACAGTATTTCAAATAATTTTGGCAAAAACATTTTTTTTTCATCTTGTAGTTTCGAATAAATACTAAATAACCAAACTTTTTTCCAGAATTAAAAAATGCATTTGATATTGCTCCAAGAGCTCAACCAAATGTGACCTTAGTTGCCAAGACCCTGGAAGACAAAAATAATTGGATGGCAGACTTAATTATGCTTAATACTAAAAGGTACGTATTATTGTGTTAATTTTACATATTGCTCATCCTTAATTTTTTAGCATTACAACAGATTTCAGGATATTTTGTCAACGATTATATATATCATACCACTAGTTCAACGTCAGTCTGTTTCAATAAGCCAGACTAAAGTATCATATTCATGTCATTTCTTCTCTGAACAATTAATTTCATTCATCCACACCCAGAATACTTAATTTATTTCGCTAAGATCAGAACTTTCATATACCTCCAAATACTCCTGAAACTCAAACAATGGAATTGAATTTTGAAAAAACAAGTATTCGTAGTACACAATGAGTAAAAGCAAGAAATTACAGCCAATAATAGGCTCTCATTCTGTATATCTACCAGAAACTACCAGACCATGTATCTCATTTGCGATGTTTAAAAATCTCTGCTCCCATTCATCTCTTTAAAGAAAAACAAACTAATATAATTCCTCGAAGTTTTCACAGAGTTCGCTCCGTACAGAGAAGAGAAATCACAAAAGTTTTCAAAAAATGATGTTGAGTAGAGTTTATTCAAAAATTAAAGAGTGACAGGAAGTTTGCAAAGTTGCAAATGGAGATAAGTGGTCTGGTATTTTCCTTGTTGATATACTTAAGTGGCATTCAAAATCACATAAACTGTGAGATCAGCCAAAATCAGGAAAAAATTGTATTAGGCCAAAAATTTATCGTTGGTAAGTACTTGATTAACATTTTCCTTTCTTTTTTAGTATGCTGGAACGTACACTTGATAGTATTCTGCTTGACGAAGAGAAGAAGCATCCTCTGCGGTTACCCCCTGCAGATTTGTACAGGTTTTCACAGCCGGACTCACCGGATAATATTGTTCTTGATGAGAAAGAGAATGCAGGTGTTCCTCTAATCAAGGTATTTGACTTCAGTAATTTATTCCACTCTTTAATCGCCCTAAATTTGGCCCGGATATTCAGCTGATGAAGACAAGATTTAAGACTTAAGACTGTAAAAATTAAGACCAGAAAGGCCCAAGTTTCTGATTCTGAGAGAGCTCTGCGGCCCAATAATTGAAACTTTATCGGCACAACAAGACCAAACATTACCCTATCTTATCCATGCTCCTTTCAACTTTCAATTATCAGCCTGCTGGTTTATTCGAAGGGCTCTGATATTTTATCTAAAAGTGCTAAAGTTAGGAACCAAATCTGTCCAGCAAATAACAAATTCTCTTAAATTACTTTAGAAGACTCAGCACTTGTAGTGCAAAAGAGCTGCGAATGACATTAAGAAGTAGTAAAATAGGTTTTTTTATCAAACAGCTCAACTGATTTAAGTCAGGAAAATAACTTTTAAGGAAAAAAAATCATCAAAGCGTTTGAAACTAATTAGAATTTTGTGCTGAACTATCACAATTTTTGGAATAAAAATGTTGACATGATTTAACTTTAATTAGGACAAAAATTGTAAAGTCAATTTGAAACATCTTAAATTATCCAGATAAGAACATTTTCATCATCTCTGTCCAGTGAAGATGAGAAATTCCTTTTCCTAAAGTTTGTACGCACCCTTTAGAAAACTAATTCTCTTTCCTCTTATTTTGCAGGGTGCTACTCTAATAAAATTAATCGAAAGATTAACCTATCATATTTATGCAGATCCCAAGTTAGTTCGGACATTCCTCACAACGTATCGATGTTTTTGCTCACCCCAAGAGCTCCTCACACTGTTGATTGAACGGTTTAACATTCCAGAACCTCCTCTAGAAGCTGAAGACGCGCATGACTCAGAAAAACTGTTGAAAAACATTCAGCGAGAGGATCTCAAAAGATTTCGCAAAGAATATTGCCAACCAATACAGTTCCGAGTGCTCAACGTACTGAGGCATTGGGTCGATCAACACTTTTACGATTTCGAAAGTGACGCGGAACTATTGGCAAAGTTGCACGCATTCCTTGAAACCGTGACGGGGAAGTCAATGAGGAAGTGGGTGGATTCTGTTCTGAAGATAGTTCTGCGGAAGTGTGACCCGAATGAAATCCAGCGTGAAATCACATTTGCGTTCGACAAGTCACCTCCTCCTGTCGAGTGGCATATCAAATGTCCCGAGGAAGAATGGGATATTCTCACGCTTCATCCGATAGAAATCGCTCGGCAACTAACACTGCTTGAGTTCGATTTGTACAGGGCTGTGAAACCTTCAGAACTAGTCGGTAGTGTGTGGACCAAGCCGGACAAGGAAGTCAAATCACCAAATCTTTTAAAATTGATCAAACACACGACAAATTTCACGAGGTGGTTAGAGAAGAATATCGTCGACACAGGGAACAACGAAGAGAGGGTTGCCGTAGTCAGTCGAATTATTGAAATAATGATGGTTCTTCAAGATCTCAATAATTTTAATGGTGTTTTAGCTGTTATCGCCGCTATGGATTCAGCTTCAGTTTTTAGGCTTAAATTTACGTTCCAATCAATAGCCGCTAGGCTAGATAAAGCTCTGGAAGAGGCTCGCGATTTGGATAAGAATCACTTCCGGAAGTATCAAGAAAAACTTCGCTCAATTAACCCTCCTTGTGTTCCGTTTTTCGGTATGTATCTGACGAACATCCTCCACATCGAAGAGGGAAACGCAAGCTATCTACCGAATAATCCAGAACTGATCAACTTCAGCAAACGGAGGAAAGTTGCTGAAATAACGGCCGAGATCCAACAGTACCAGAATCAGCCGTATTGTCTGAGCGTCGAACCCAACATAAAGCGTTACCTTGAAAACCTGAACCCGTTCGATGACCAATCAGATGCTGATATTCGAGACTACCTGTATCACAAGTCTCTGGAGATTGAACCCCGCAATCTCACACGACAGGAGTTCAAGGACAAAGGAGACAAAGCTCCCAGGCGTTGGCCGGATCTGAATCTGAAGTCACCAGGCATCAAACCGAAAAATCTGCCCGGAAGAAGTCATCCGCCGATACCGCTACCTTCGTTGACGCCGCATCTGGTGTCAGGACCTCGCTCTGCGGGTGAAGGAGAGGAAACACCACGCACGCCTCTCACAACTCCGCCACCAGTTTCCTCGATCCACAGTGCTGCCCAGTCTTCATCCAACTTTAGTGTTTTTGCTTCCATTCTCTTAGGCTCTTGTAAGTTTGGCCTCCTATTTTAATCTAATTTTTCTCTCCCTCCCGTGTAAAGTTCAAACGTATGAATTTTTAAAAATTCTCCATTTTACACTCATTCATTTCTTGCATTCAACTCAGTGAAAGTTTTCAAACCAAAAAAGGTAGAACAATGGTGTGTTTTAGTTTGGTCGATAAACCTTTTCTGAATAAGGGATGTCTTTCAATATTTGACAAAGGAATGAATTTTTTAGCCAAATTCCATAACGGAATGGAACTGTAATTTCCCAGATATCGCTTTGTCCAGCCCAACTTTCATCAATGTTTTTGCCAGAATATTGAGCGTGATACTGCGACTTTCACCAATGAACCCATCCATTTAAGTGCAAATCTGTGAATAGTGTGTAGTTTTCACCTACCATCTGATTCTCTATCAGTCTCCATAGCACAAATGATGTACTTTTAGTAAAAAAGCATACAGTTGCCGAAGTTTGAAAATTTTCGGTAGATTGATTCCATCTCTGGTATTTGTTGACCAGTGATGCTCCTGATTTCTATCTCTGTAACTTCTCTTATTCTTCATCTTTAGTCACTTTGTCTTATCCATTTTGTATCTCTTTTCAGCATCATCAAATTTAAGCTCAGGTCAACAGAGTCCAGGTGTGTCATCAAACAACGGGAGCACCGGTCAGTTCTCGCCTTCGTCAGGGTCCGTGTCTCCAGGGGTGGCGCCACCGACGTTGCCTCCCTCTCTTCCACCGGCGACGACTCCTCCCCCATTCTTGCCCCCTCCCCTACCTCCTCGCAGACGAAGAGAATCCTCCATAAGTGAAATTAGTCAGGTTCGTACATGATACGTTAACTTAAAAGTGATTGCTTTAATTTTAATTTCAAGACCCATTCTCCATTATTTATCTTTATTTTTTTTATATATATTTTTTATATTCTTTTTTATATTTTTTGAATATTTTTTTTATATTCTTTTTACTATTTTTTTTTCTATAATTTTCCAATTGATGGAAGGGAAATGTTCTTTTTTTGACCAGGCAACCACAGTATTGCAGATTTGTACATAGAAAATTGAAATAGGATCTTTTCATATTGTTTTTTAGTTACTTATTCTTATTTTGGAGGTTGAGGTGAGAAAATCCCCTAAATTCAACGAAGCATCAGTTTTCATTAAATTTAATTTCTTAGAGAATATAATAATGAAGATTGGCTCATGAAAAGGTAGTACCTGCACCACTACGCCATCACAGAAATTTTATCTTCCCTCTCATGAAAGAACAATTCAACTTGCGGAGGAAAGTATTTCACTCTAAAGCACAACTCAATTAGTTCAGAGCCCAGTTTGATTCAGGTAGACTTGGGTTCTTTGACGAGTTAGACGTTTGAATGCTTACTCATAAAAGAACACCAATATTTTACTTATGAGTTAAAATTTGAAATTTTCGTGTGTCCTCTGTGTTGTAGGCACAATTTTGATAAGAAAACATGTATTTTAATGTTTAGTTTGATTCATCGTTGTAAAGTCAGTGTGAAGTTTGATAATTTTTTATTCATCTTCTTGTATCTGTTTTGAGCAGACAGGAGTACCGAGCTTGCCTCCTCGAGATACGTCACCCCCGCCACTACCTCCCAGGAGGGATATCAGTGCTGCCACGTTACCACGACCAACCCCAATGCATTCTCGTCGGAATTCAACTGACGTTCCCCTGTCAGGAAGGAGGAGCACGGCTCCCCTTCCTTCGCCTAGTCACCTTTCAACTGGTACGATTTTTGTTCTTGTTACCTCCTAATTTTATTAATTTTCCAAAATTGCCTTGCGAAAATTAATTTCATACTTTAAAAAAGATCCTTTTTAACACATTAAGTGCTATGGTGAGCTCATGAGTTTGACGCCTAAGTGCTCCTCTGTAGTGCTGAGAAAAAATGTTTTATGAACATTTGGATGTTGCCCAATTTCACTTTGTTAAACATTGATTTTTGCAGTAATTTATTAATATTTTTCTTTGATATTCTTATACATAATAGTTTAAATTGCAAAGAAAAAAAATTGAATAATTTTGAGAAAAATATCTATAAGTTCCCCTGAAAGTACGTATTTTATCAGAAGAAATTTGGCAACGTCTGAAGGCTCATACGGCGTTTTTCCTTAGCATGGCAGTCCCTGTGTCACCACGCCAAGCATGAGCCTGACTGACTGAAAAATTGTTTAACCCTGGTTTCAGAGTTTTTTCAATCGCTCACCATAGTTATTTCTTAATGTTCTCCTGGCTCTGTGGAATTAGACGAGGTAGCAAATTGAGTAAAAATATGTTATTCACAATTAGCCTCTAATTGACTAACCTTTGCCGTGTGACATTAATGGTATCTTTCTGAAATAACATCAAGCATTTGACATAAAAAGCATATGAAATGTGTGCCAAACGCTGGCATCAAGCCATTTCATCAAAATTGCATTTTCTCAAAACATCTACTGAACATGCTAAATTTAAGCACTCCTGGTGGGTTTCCAGACAAATTGAAAGTAAATTGAGTCTAGATTGATGTTTGAATCATACACACATCAATTTCCATTTCATGGAAAAATAGGTTGCTCATTGTCAAAACTTACTGCGAATCGCATTTTCATGTTGGAATTACTGTGATAATTTTTTATCCTCACTTTAATTAGATTAATAAATCTCAGCTCTTTAAAGCTTCTTGGTTTGAACATGCAGCCAGTCTCTGACTTCAGAACTGCCGTGCCCATATTACGCAGTTTGAGCTCCTCTAAATATAATACTAATTTATTTTCATTTTTTTTTTCAGGTTCTCTTAGTAGATCTCTTACTTCAAATACAGGTGCCAGTCACCGTTCTAGTTCAGTATCTGATCAAGTTAGTTTTATGTCTAATGGGCCTCATGACCCGGTAAGTACTCGCTCATTCATTTGCGGAAAGTACATTTATTTATTAACATGCATTTACATGGCTGCTTACGAAACTAACCAGGGAAACAAAACTGTCATGGAAACTAACATTCAAATTAACAAAGATGTAACAGCTAATTTTGAATTTCTTAAATTTCAAATTGATTTTTTGATTGTCAAGAAATTCTTTTGACACATGAGCTTTTCCAACTTAAATGTACATGCAGCATTTTCAGAACGTGGCCAATGAAAAATGCATCATGGAGCACTTTGAGTTTTTGGTGTGGTGGTAACCGCGCTGCTGGGCATTAGCATAATTTTCTTTTCCTCATAGAAAAATATGAAGTTTTCTCTTCACCTATCGTCTAAAAAATATAAAAAAATTCATGAAATAAAATTAAGTCAACATAGCAATTCATAAATGCAAATTTTGTACCTGCAGGTCGCAATAGAGCCCTTGCGCAATTTTATTTTTCCTCCTATTCTTCTTCTATTTTTTTTTCTACCACTAGATAGTTGACCTTAAAATAATCTTACAAGAATTCTCACCGTAAATTTGAGGCCTGGAACAACTGCCCCCAAATTGTTCCCGAAATATTGATTTTAATGATTAAATGTTAGTAGGTGGATAGCGCCAGATGGTCAAAGCACAATTATTCAAAGGGAGCTCTAATTATTTAGTGGCTCTCTAGATTTACCCACTCTCTATACCGCAGTCTATGTGGGTCATACGTTAAGATGGTAGGCAATTTCAGACCCTTTTCAACCAATTTTTCAATGTTTTAGGGGTCATAGGAGTTGCCAATTGCATCAATATGTCAGGGTGAATCCCTGGAGGTGAGTGCTTGGCTGAGTGACATTTTTGATGGATTGATGTTCTATGTTGTTTGAATTGATGTTGTTTGCACCACGTGTACTCCAGAACAATTCACTTCCTTTTAAAAAATTAGAAGTTTACGTTGCCCTCTCAAGAATATTATGTTGCTTATGAAGAGTAGCCTCTCATAGAATATTGACCTTAAAGTTAGCTCGATAACTTAATTGGTGTCAAATGGACTGGCCCATGTTTTCCTTTCCCTTTTGTGTTCGTCATTTTAATATTTCGATGGGCCAATGGCACCCATTTTTTTCTGATTCATTCTCTGAAAGTATGGAGAGAGCTCAGCTTCTAGGAAGTCTTAGCCTGTTACGCAGCATGTTGTCTTTGTTGTTTGGATGAAATGTAACAATTAGCCCCATTTTCGGCTTTTTGGCTTTTAGCCTATTTTTGACAAGAAATAAATAGAGTTTTGTTTGAGATCTTTCAAAATTTTATTGCCTCTTTCTATGTTTTGGAAGGAAACCAACATAGATTTTCGTTGCAAGTTTGCGGAAATAATCATTGTATGGGCAAGAAAAATGTCAGGAATTTTCGTGTGGGGATGTCAGTTGGTTCCCCTAGAAAATTTAAAATTGGAGATAAAATTCTGAATCACTGCAACGCTTGCAGTGTAGATGTGACTGCTTTGCTTCAATTTTCCGCAAGAAAAGGGATCTTCGTTCTCAAAAACTAAAAATTGTGTTATTGATACTAGAGTATGGAAATTTTTTTTCAAAAATTTTAGTTGTATCCCTACAGAGTGATGGTGGTTAAACATTTGAAATTCAAGAAATGTAGTCACAGGGAAAAGCTCTTATAAATTCTAATACACTTCGCACAAAATGATCAAATTGTAATGTAATTTAGCTCTTCCAAGCGGCACAAAAATTAACTTACCTCCTCTTAACCTATTTTACAGTGTTTTCTGTACAGTTTTCAAAATCTGATTTTTCAATTCAACTTGACAAAAGTTCCCATACTAAAATTCTTTGGCCTTTATGGACTATGACCTCTTCTTCTGTTGGACATATCGATAAATAAAGTCAAAAAATGCTTATCTGGATTCCAGTGTTTCAAAATCTCGGACCCCTCTCTATTTTTCCAAGAGGAAACCAACCAAAATATCTTGTTGGAATTTTATGTTAATATTTTTCAATGAGTGAAGAAAATTCTCAGAAAATTTCAAGAAAAAATGTCGGTTTGTTTTCTTTTAAAGGAATAAAATTTGAGAGGAAATTTACAATGTTACCATCAGGAATACGCTTTTTCTGACTGTAGCTATCTACAAGCCCCTTTTCAGTTGTAGTTGCGAAATTATTACCTCATTATCTTTGTCTTTCATACAACATCGATGGCTTGGTTGGGAAACCATGTATCTTGATTGGGTTGTTGCAACATTTCTGCTCCCATATTATTATTTAGAAAAATAACAAGTCAAATTTGTTGTATTTAGTTTAAAGTATCAGTGCAAGCATGTTATAGATAAATTGTTTACTGTGATATCCATTCACAATCAAAGAGGAATCAATGAGAGCGCAGTCGAGAAAAGTGAGGTTAGCAGCCGTGCAAGAAGAAGCAACAACTTCTGGAGTTCGCTCAGAGCACATCCCAATTTTTACAGATTATCACAGAACAAAATTTCTCATTTTTATATATTTCTCCTTTGTTTCTTGTGTTTTTTTTTTTTTGATTGAAAATTTCTTTTTAATCCACAGGTCCGGTTTAACACGTTACCTTCAAATCATTCCACTGATATTCCTGGAGACCCTCTATCAACGAGACTGCTGGGTCGGCCGGAGGCCACACCCTGTTTACCGCCTAGGTCGTTCTCCATGTCACGGACCAGTGCGCCCGTATTCCAGTTCAACGCACCCGGAAGTGGAGGAGCTGCCTCGTAATATTTATCAGTCTTCATTCCTAAAGAGGTGATCCTAATCGTAAGCCATTCATCGCAGTCCTGCAAGCTGTATCATCGATTTTATGTAGGATTCGTCTTTTCGTTCCCATCGCTCGATCGACCACTTTTATAAATGTGCTTATTTTATTGTTTTCAATTTTTTACGGTTTTTAATCAAAATGTGGAAGCGGGAAGGAAAGGATTCGAAACGAACGAAAATGTTTCAAGGAGTTTCTCGAATTTTAACCTCTCTAGATTTCAGACGACTGAAAAATTCTGAACGAATTTTTGAAATGGAGAGGGGAGTTATTTCAATTCTTTGTTTGTGCCATTACATTTTAACAGATGTAGCAATGATGTTGCATCAAAACTTTTCTTTGATACAGAAAACAGTTAGCTTACCTCTGTTCTTAATTTTTCTTATTTGTGGCACTCTGTTTGTAAGACAGGCACTCTGTCTGTTTGGCATACAGGCTTGAGCAAGACTTGGAGTCTGATAGAGGTAAATTGTTGAGGAGCTCCTTATTTTTGCGTTTTTTGTTAATTAGTCCTAATAGGAAGACTTTAGAAAGCATATTTTTGCCAGTGCTGTCAAAAAATAGTCTCAGACTCTAATGAAATTACCTAATCAAGTAACTTTTAAGAATCTTAATGGGACTATATTTTGCAATTAGGAACTACTATTTCTAGCGCATCCATTAAAGGATGCATATATATAGGGAAACTAAAGGCACATACGTTGTTTCTACAGTGAGCCAGAAATAGTTGTTCCCTGTTGCAAAATATAGTTCAATTATCATAGGCTTGCAAATGTTTACCGACCCTCCTTTTGACTCCTTCGCTGTACAGAAATCTCTGAACCCCAGCAAAACCTACCCTTTATTATCCTCCGAGTCCTCATCGCTGCAGGTTTTCAGCTAGTGGGACTTTAGCCTCATACCAACAATCCCTCCTCGTTTTTGAGAAATCATCTTAAAACAAAGGCGCCCTGAATCAATGCGTAAATTATTGAACAGAGGGAAAGCAACTCCTCGCTTTTATCTATCATTAGCTGAGAATTAATCCAGCATATTTTCTACAAGATTTGATGAAAGCCTCTATCATTTAATGGTATCTGTTCATTTTGCCATGGTTCGATAGAAAGCAGGATATGATAGCAAGCAAAATTTAGGAAATAAAATTGTAGATTTCTCGTGTGGCTCCAATTGCTCCTCTCTATAGGGTGATCCTAAAGTCCCGTACACCAGTACCAGGCATCACCGGTGTAACTTCTGAGCAAATTGAGGTAGAGACTTGAAATATTGTGAGTGCTTCTAGGTCAAATAAAACGACTTTTGGGAACCCCTAGAACTTTAAAGGGACCGCTCTCAAAAAGGGGCAAGAACCCTCGGGGTTAAGGGTGTGGTAGTGGACTTTCGGATCACCGTGTATGGTATGCAACTAAACTAACATCTCATTTGCATGTAATGACTCCTAAGTGTAATTTTTCCAATGTCATCATCAAGTTGTAATGTTTCTCAGTGAAAGCCATGATTTTCCATTCAGCCGAAGTTTCTTAGATATTATTTTTGTGGCCTAACCCATAAAAAATCAATTTTTAATAATAGAATAGCCATTTTACACATTCAAATCGTTGCTACGCCCATTATCAACTGTGCAAGAAATGAAGAATAGCCGTAAGAATCATTGTTAAGATCATTCTCATGTTGTCAGTTTTTCGATGAAATTCTCATTTTTTCGTTTTATTTTGCTGTCAATGGCAGAAGCAGCAAGTTTAATAACAGTTCAGCTTAGATCCAAAGAATGAGGCAAGTAGAGAACTAAAAGAGAAAAACCCATACCGAAAAAGCGTTGATTTCATAAAAAATTCCTTTCAATTTTTAAAGCATGATCAATAAAGAATTATTTTCTCGTTCTTTCTTTTGTACAAGAGTCTTTCCTGTCTATGAAGTTGAAGCGCTTTCTAGTTTTGATTTTTTAATATTTATTTCTATGTTTTCTGATTCCTCTACTTTCACTCTTAAAAAGTTTGGTTTGTCTTGCTCAGCGTGAAGTGATGGTCAAGCATCGTTATGTTGCTTCTGCTACAAATAATGTTTCTCTCAATAGCACAAGGGTTGTAATACATCATAATGGCAGATTTAGACAAAGTGAAATTTTGGAGAATGAATTATTCCAGTTGTCGACAAATTTAGGTCCAGAGTTTCAAGCCTAAACTCTTCGAGAGCTTGTTAATTTGTTTCTTTGATTTGCTGCATTGCATGATTTCCTATCATTTAGCTGTCTCAAACTGTGTCAATTTTATGTCACAGATAATAATATTAATCACAAACTGTCGATCAGTTTGATTTTATCATGCGCCCTGCAAATATTCTGATGCCCTGGAAATTGAATGCATTCTGAGTTTGTTGGCCCAATTTCCTTTGATAGACATTTTTTAAAGATTCCCTCTCTAGTAATCTCTTTAGAAACGTTTTTTCCATTGTCCATGAACTCGAGTTTTTTCTGTTTAAAATTTCTTGACGAAATTTCAGGAGGTCACAGCTAGTCAAATTAATCCAAATTTTCCACGAAAAAGAATTGATGAATAATTATTTTATTACAAACCCCAGTTTGGTCTGTATTTGAGTTAATTTTAATTGAACTAGCGTTCTTAAAACTAGCATCAGATAGCAGTTTACTTTTGACTGTCACAAGCAGTAGATCGATCAACATTTCTGTGCTTGGCGGCAGCATCGCCTGCAGTCAATCCCCAATGCCTACTGGACAGCTGCAGAGCAATCACTTACAAACGAAAAGCAAACAACTGCCCACTCATCCAACGCAAGTTTTTTGCTGTTTTCTAGTGCTAAAATTTCTAGGGTCTAGGAATGTGCGAAATCAATTTTTTCTATCAAGAAATCGAAATTTTTATCCTTCGAAATTAATGATTGAATCCTTTCTTTCAATGATTTTTATAGCTGTGATGCAATGTAGATTTAACCTCTTAGTGGTCATTGATGATCATCTGCACTAAATTGAATACTTAACTTCATTCAAAATGTTGTCTTTCAAAATTCTTTGTGGATTTGAGGTGAAGTTCTTTCCTGTTGAAAGCCAAATTTTCTCAAATCCACGCAAAGTCGGCCAACTAACCTTCATTTTAGGTTAAGAAAAACTTTCAGTAGAACATACTAAAGAAAACCTTACCTCGTCATATTTACTGTAAATCTCATAAATTCAATTATCTTCAGTTTTTTCAAGTTACTTTAAATGACCTAAATTTTTCTATAAGGAGCTATTATTTCCAGCTCATCTGTGAAAGCTTCTATCTGCTTAAGGAAACTAATGTCACTTGCCCCATTTCTAAAATGAGCTGAAAACAATATTTTGAAGGCCAACGTGTAAAACCTTGTATCTCCATCTTCAAAATTTCTGCTCCTATTTTATTTTTTAAAAGGAAAAAAGCCAAGCTTGTATAACTTTATAGCTTGAAATCAATACAGAATGTTCTGTAAATAGAGAAGGAAAATCATGGAAGTTTTCAGATAATTACGTTGACAAGTTTTTCAAAGAAAAAATTAGGTATGACAGGAAGTCTACAACATGGCAAATGGAGGTATGGGATTTTGCACCTTGACCGTCCATTTCCTTGTTACAAAGTGTTGTCCAAAGGGAGTTAATAACAGTGCAGAACTTTCTCTCTGAACTGGACCGATGAAAGCAGATTCATCAACAATTAGTAGAGTGAATGGTACGTTATTTAGAAGTCGATACAAATAAAAGTATTGTAGATCAATCGGTGAAGTATCGGTGGTATCGTCTGGTTTAATTTATTAAGTATAATTTTTTCTGTAAGCGCTTTCTCATAGAAGTCCTCACAGTAATCCAAATTATTTATCATTTTATTGTGACTTTAGGTAAGAAGATAAATTCAGTCTCAACAATAAATTTATGTTGAAGGACAAATTCAAAAGTAGGTTAGACGTGAATAAATCTCTTTTCAGTGCTCTGCATAATGAACACTAATCGAACAACAACTGTTGCTTCAGGATACCACTCATTCTTTGTTCGTTTACTCTCAAGTATCAAAGGTTTTACTTCATAATTTCTTGCAAATTTTGTCTGCCTTTCCAAGCTATGAAAATTCTAGCACAACTATTTTCACGATCATTACTTTTTTCCTTTTCTTTTAATTTTCTATTTTGCCAGCAACAATAGTAGTGAAATTCCACCCCTTTCCTGGTTTGGGTATCACAGAGATTTATTTCTTTGAGTCATAACGACTGCTCCATTACATTATTCCACATTAAACACCCTGTAAACTGCTAATCCCTGCTAAAAATTAGGGCTGTGCCATTTGTTCGGTGCTGACTTTCATCAACTTCTTTGTGTGCGAACTTGATCTTTAGGCATTTCTATGAATAGTATCTGAAGTGCAGATAAGGTTAGCTGCTTTAACTTTCAAGGAAGAAAAAAGAGGTCTCCAAAAGACAATGTCTTTTGTACTGGAAGTATTATTCTCTCGCGTTTGTACTGTATCAGACTCAAAGCAGCGATCACAGCAAATTAAAATGATAATTTTAATCGTTCTTGTAATGCTCCCTTATTGACCTAAATTGTCTGGATGAAACCAAATGAACAGATTGGAAAAGCGAAGGAAAATCATTCAAAGATATCAATTGGTGAATCTTCAGTTTCTCAGTGTGCCTTATCTTTAGTTCGTCGTTGAATAATAATTGAAATTTAAATGTTGTTAAATGTTAGTGACGATGTAGGTCATATATTATTTACAATATTTTACCTATTATTAGCTGTACAAATTTTTACGTTGTTGATATTATTTCCAATTTTTATTTTTGTTTCAAAATTTATTTGGTAGAAAATTTGTTGTTTGTCTTACTGCTGGAGTTTTACATAAAAATTGTTGGACCAATTTTCTTGTAATAAATCGATGGTTATGTTAATATGGATTTATTTTTATTGATGTTTTCTGTGCTATCTTTTTCCATCAACCAAGAGAAGTGTCTAATTTTTTTAGGGAAACAGTTGTACCATGGTTTTCCTCGGATTCATGAATACTTATTCAATTCAATAAAAAACGGCTATGTATATTTTTGTTTATCCAATACATAAGTATGCATATATTTTTGTACTCCGTACTTTTCTTATCCTTTATGATTGTGTAGAAAAGCAATCTTGCAGTGTATTTACCAATCTGATGTTGAAAAGTCCATTATTGATGTTATTTTATATTTAATACGTAATTATACAGCGTTGTTTCCTTGTATATACTTATACATTTTAATGTAGTTGACAATCTGATGTAAATAATTCAAGCCTCCCTACATAGTATAAATAAATGTTTGAAAAATGTTACTGTGGTTTTTTTATTCATATCAAGTCTAGGCCTGCAGCCTGATTGACATCCATTTGTATGCATATGTTAACCTGACAAGACTTGCATTTCTTACTTTTGACCCCATTCCATACAGAGTTCAGTGTAAATCAGACAATGAAAAGATCAATTATTGGTCCCTTCTCTCGTAGTACTTTCTATAGAATAACACCTCGATTTGGGGTCTAAAATGAATGCCATAGTGAGGAGACCTGTTCCCATTCCTCCTTTCTCGGTGTATCTATGAGAAATACCAAGAATAGTATTTTACTCAGAAATTGTGTTGGTGGTCACCAAGTTCGGGTTTCGTATGTTGTTAATGAGATTCATAGATAGTGGAGGAAATAAAAGGAATCCCCTGTAAAGTCGATTGTTGATAGTCATTTCCTATATTGAGCTACGCAAGCCCTCAAAGCGAATAAGCTCTGGGCTCCGGGATTCGATACCATCTTAATCCGGAACCATTGCAATATGGCAAAATTAGCAAGAGGCACTACATTAGAGGGTGATACTTGAATCAATATTGTATAAGTTTGGAAAAATCCCATACAGAGGAAAAACTGCAGAGATAAGGCAGAGTTCAAAGAGTGAAAATTAATTGTACACAGTTATTAGATTTAAAAAATCACTTTTTATTTGACAACAATTGAATCAGTAACTTTTATTTACTATCCATTTGCTTTGCACAATCTCAAACAAATGCTTTAGTAACAAAGTTCTAGAGGAAGGGGGGGGGGGATCATGACAAAGTAAAACACATACAAAGACAAAATATTTGTTGATATAAAAGCATTTTGTACAAAAATAGCATTGAAAAGAAAATAACGAATCTTGAGAAACAATATAAAATTTATAGAGGCATATTAAAAATCATTCATTTTACTTCATGTTCAGCGCATAAAGATAATTACAAATTCCACTTCATGTGCAGACTTGATTTACAACAAAACCGTTTTCCACGGAGGACATTGCTCATGTGCTTTCATCTTGCAGACGAAAGAAAGAATTGGTGCTATGTTCCTTACGTCTATGGAATAAAGTCTCAAGTCTAATACATGATCAATTAAACTGCTTAGGATGGAGAAAAGTTTTGCTATAATATCAAGAATATCATGCAATTAACAAGAATGAGATATCCATGCATTCATAGCTGCATAGAAACAGGATTGCATCAGTGTAATTTCCAAACAGAACTATCTCTGGCAGAACAGACAATGGAAGAAAAATTATACAAAATTTATATAAAAATATTCTGTGGCTAAAAACTTATTAGGCAACTTTAAAATTTCTCGGAAACAAAAGAGAACGTAAAATTACGAGCGCTACAAAAAGAGCAGATTCATTTTCTTCTCTTTTTCTTTTACAGGTTCCACTATTTGGAACGATTTAAAAATCAAAGCAACTTTTACACTGACTGTACGGTTAAGGAGCGATTGATTGGGAAATTCATTGGTTTCCACGAACAAGAGAAAAAATAGTCAAAGAGAGTCATGAGACACATAACGTTACAGGCTAGAAATCGATTTGGAAAAAATAATTCCATTCATTGATATCAAAAGTGGATCCTGTAATTCAAGCCTCGAAATGAAACTTCATAATATATACACCTAAGTGGTTATTGATATGAAAGAAATAAACGCACAAAATGATCGAGTCCTAGACAAATTGCTTATTAATACGAAAAACTGCCATGCAAGATGAGAGTTGCAACTAAATATACCTAAAAAGCGGTGAATTATCGTGGTAGGCTAAGTTCTAAATTTCCGTGATATATTGCTGCATTCAATTCAGCTCTTGAGCTTATGCATTTCAACAACATTTTTGAAAAGCACAATTTTTTTGGATCATTCCATAAAGAGCTTTAAAGGTTTGAGTCATTGACTAAGCCTTGATCTTAAGTACAATATGGGGGAGAAAATAAGAGATTTATTTCATTATGAACATTATTCAAGGAGAGACAGCAGGTCAAAGTGAAATTAAACTGCTAGAAAAACTGCCAACGTGGGTAAGATATGAGGAAAAATTTCAGCCTCAAGTAGGAGGCAAAAAATGAGAGGGTGGTAATAGATTTCAAGATGATGAAATTCAGAATTTTATACTTTACACGAGGAAGACTTCAAACACAAAATTAGAGTTTTTTGTGGCTACTTGTCAGGCCCCCTCTCTACTCTTTTCCAAGAAAGTGTATGATTTTACCAGAAAATTCTCAATGGAAAAACAGCTATTTTACCGCTGAAGACACATTTCAGGTCTTCTCTACAAATTTCTTCAAATGACATAATGAACCAAAATCATTAAAGCGCAAAATCTACCTAGTCTGACCAGGATACATGGCAACTTGGTTGACAAACTTTTGGAAGGAAGTGAAAGGCAGGAGAGGAGGAGGAGGAGGCAAGGGGGGGGGGCATCATCATTTCAGCCTTGAGACTGAAGCCCATGTATTTAGCATGGCCTCCAATCATGGTGCCATATTCAACAAACGGATAATAATTCAGGGGTTTTTAAAGAGATTATTGGGAAACCGACAGCTTTTGAACATGACGAGTCCTAGTCCTCTTAGAAATATCATGTGAAACAATAATTAGACAAAATATGCCTGGTATCTAAATATTTGTTCATGCTCACTGAAGTACACCTCAATTTGAGTCACCATAAAAGTAAAACCAAATCTCATAGGAGAGAAATGCTTAAGATTGTTGGCAGAATTTCTATTGTTCGCTCAGAGAGAGCGCATACACTTCAGTCTCTATGCTAGACTACCAATTTGGAAAGATTGTTGATTTTTCTGAATACACTTTTCCTGTGTTTCAGGGATATTGGTTATACTCTAGATCAGCTGAGACAACCTAGATTGCGAGATGCACTTGGAATAATAACGAGATGATCGCGGCAAGAGCAATTACTGAACTCAAAACTCAATCAAATTTTAAAGCAAGCAAATATGATTGCTGGGTATTTTGAATGCATAGCTGCAATATCACATGAGCTTATGATTAAAAAAATAATTTCTAAACGTGCAAAAGATAAACATTCATTTTGAAAACGAAACAAAAATCAATGAACTGTTAAGCTCCAACTTCGTTTTAAACGTTTCGTCTCACCATTTTCATACCTTTCTTTCCTGTTTCATTTCCATTCATTATTACTACTGATAAGTTGACTAAACAAAAGACATGTATATAGAGTACATATATCGTCAGAGTGGAGTATATAGTGTACAGATTTTCCCCCAACATTCCACTCTAATTAAAAAATAAAGGTTCTCTGTTCAATTAAAAAATAGTAAAAAATAGAATGCAAAGGCAACAATGTGCCAGTGCAAACGAATAAGAGGAAAAATTTCTATACGCACTAATGCATGTCAATGGCTGAACTGGGAAATCACGTTTCTCAGATTCTAATGCTGCAAATTTCCCATCATCCTTCTTTTTATTACTGAAAAAACATGATTTCTGAAAAATGTACATGATTTTTCCTCTCTGTTAGAAGAACATTTCATGTGAACATCTACCTACAGAAAAGCTGCCTCATTTTCCTTGGAAAAAAAAAATTTCAGAGAAATTTGAAACTAGAGCAATCAAGGGCTGTGGTTTCCGAGTTTAGCTATTGGTGTGAGGAAACAGTTGACATTTCTGCAGGTAAACAGTCAAATCAGGCACTTGGTCAAATGCCTCGGCTAACAGTCAAAGGTTCTTGCTCACATTGAAATGCTGATTCTTTCTTTTGCTAACTTTAGACAAAATAATTATTTGCTTATCTAGAAAAGATGCCCCTGTAAAAATTGGCATCATAGAATTGGAAATAAATTAGTTCTAGTCCTAAAATGAGCTTTTATCTCAGGATTTTCAGCACATCATAAAATACAGATTTTTTAAAATGTTGAAAGTTAAATTATATGAAGAGTATTTTGAGAGCAAAATACAAGAGCAGTTCGTAGATGATGAATTCTTACATTAAAACAATTGAAAACTCTAAGCTCTCCATCAAAAACACTTAAGATTTCTTGAACCATCAAAATTTGACTATCTGCTCAGACAGTTAATAAAATGCCTGATTTGATTATGTACGTGCGACAAATTCATATCTTGCCGACTGGCCTAACAAAAAAATTGAAAAATGCCATTTACTGCAAGAATCTGAATCAGTTCCGAAGACTACATGGATGGGGACTGGACTCTCCATTTGCTAGCTGCATCTTTCCTTGCGTCAGGAACTAATTGGCTTCTCACTCCTCCCAAGACATTGGTAGTAGCTTGACTTGCTAATATGATAGGCGTTAGCGCCATTGCAGGGATTTGCCTCAGAACTCTTCCTTCGCTGGCTGCTCGAGCTAAAGTCTCCGCTTTCTCTCCCATGCCCTCACGGACTAGCATTAAAGCGTTTGCAACACCTTCTCTGATGTCCGCTGGATTGTTGTAGGGATGTCTCCGTTTCTTCTTCCGTCTATCGTTTCGAGGGTACATTTTATGAAGGTTCGGACCCGGTGACAGCATATCGAAAGCTGTTTCTGCGACACTCTGAATCGCTTGTACAACTCGAGCTGTCAACTCCAAAGCAGCGATTGCCGTAGATGTGGTGAATGAATTTGCTCCCCGTTGCAAACCTCGGACGATGCGGCCGTCCTTTTGATATTGCTCTATTGGTAACCAGAATAAGTCTCGAATTCCATGGAATAGCTGGACGACCGAGTGGATTGGCCCGACGCCTCCGATGATTGAGGGTAACTGATTCTTTTTGATGTCCTGCAACCACTCTGTTATAGCATACTGAATTAATTTATCAAAACCTAGGAGCCCATGCCTGTGTATCAATCGCTTCAGAGCAAGCTCCGAGCAGTTCAAGTTTCCGAGACCTAAAAGAAGGCCGGCAAGCGGGCCGTGGGTCATGTCCACATGCTTTCCTTCGTAATCTACTCTGATAGGCACTTCTGGGGAGAAAATGAATTTTTTGAAGAAGACAGGTGGAGACGATGAGATCTGAGGCGACCAATTTCGCTCAAACTTCTCGCTCTTTCTGGATTCTTCAGAGGTTGATACTGAGCCATCGTCATCTTCAGGAGGCGATATACTACTGCTTGGTGTCAGTTCGCTTGATGCATTGCTCATGTCTAGGTCTTGATTGATGTTTCCACATAGCTGATTGATATAAGAGCAAAGAAATAGCATTGAATCCTGATCGATGTTCAGTCGTAGAGGCAATAAAGATACTTTCAAGCAACACTCCTCGGCAGGCTGCTGTGGGTCTGGTCGCAAATAGTGTGCTTTGATCACAACCTGGAGAAGCAGAAACGGATTTCAATGAAAATTGTGCATGTAAAATTTCAGAATTGGCTCAGCAAGTGTTCAAAATCTTGACACTTTCAGATACAGGTCTAAGGAGAACCTAAATTCATGTGCTGCCGGCAACATCATTTTTGTAAATTTTGAAAAAAGTTAAAGAAAGACCAGAAACCCCTAATAGTGGCAGACTGGTCAAAAATTCATGAAAAACTTCATGTTACTTACAAAGCAATAAGTTATGGGTGGACATATAGTTTCAGGGTAGATATTGAGTACCTTCAATTATTTTCATAAATTTTGCTATGGGTAGAAAAGTTCCAGAGAAATAATTAGATTCATCAGGAAAATCTAGTTTTATTCCCACTTATAAATTCAACCAAAATTTCAACTTTACTGATTTCAATTCAAGATTATTCTCAGATCGTAAAAGAAAGAACTACATCTTCACTCGAGGCAATTTTACTGGTTGAGCAATTTTCAAGGTTTTCAGTCATTCAGATACGCCAAGGTCAGTTTTTAACGGCTATTACGTTTCAATATCTATGAGTTCATAAATAATGCGCTATTTTCTCTCTTTCATTAGTGTAAATGCAAAAAGATGAAGACTCAGCTTATAGATATTAATTTGATGAAGTGAACAGTTGAACGAGGATATCTTTACCATGTCTGCATGTGATTGTCTGGGCCTTGCTTGACTTGAGTATTGATATAAAAATTTGTTGATCCTAGATGAGGCTAAACGGTCTCGAATTTCTACTTCTTTCACCAATAAAATTTGTCGCTTTGCTTCAACCGTGTCATCTGGGTATACTTCATGCTGGAATCGAATCTGTGGAACATTTTAAAAGATTGTGATCAAACCTGTTCAAAATCTAATTTTTTTTCACATCCTTACAATTATTTCTCAACGAAACTCCTTTCCAGATGTTTAGAGAACTAAAAAAAATAATCTCCTAAACTTTTTTATGCTCGACTCTTTCACTTCCCTGCTTCGGACGGGGTGGCTAGCAAAATTTCATTTTATCATTCCTTGACTTTTTTACACCGCTTGAGAGCATCACCCGGTTGGCACAACAACAAGATCAGCTGACTTGCCGCAGACCTGATTTTGACGTGGAACTCGATTCCCCGAAAAATTCTCTAACCATTGACATAATTCCTTGACTTTTCTTGATTGAGTTGTATTCCCTGACTTTTCCCAGTTCCCCGGTCGCTAGCCACCCTGTTTGGGATAACAGTGTCAATAAAAAATAGGCTTCCAGGGAAAATCGACCTGCAGCCGGATTGTTGAACCTTTAACTGGCTATGTCGGCACGATAAGACAAGACATAGCCCTATCTGCGCCGTGTAATATATCGATTTTCGATTCTTGTCGTGCCGACATAAATTTCAACAATCAGGCTGCTGACTTGATAACATGGTGTGTAATAGACTACTCTGATGTTTATTCTGATTGTTCATGCCTTTAGACTTCAATTTTGTGTATTATTTTGGAATTAAACTGTTTCTTTGAACGTGCGGAGTAAGAACTAAAAATAAAACAATGTACATTTAGGGCCTATTTTGCTCCTACATACGTAATCTCTTTTTTTGCAGGACAGTTCACTGAGAGCCTTCCAAGACAAGAAAAGAAAAAATAAATTTTTTTTTAAGAAAAATTATCAAACAAACTCGTATAAGTCTTCAATAATTTTTACAGTGCACCTATAACTCCGAGAAAACATACTTAAAGTGATGCTGATGGATTTTTACAGTTGACGCCCAAGTTGATCTGATTCAAAAGCATAATAATGATAATGAATAATAAATAAAAAAATAAGAAATTAGAAAAATGCAATGAACACTATATTAATTAAATTGATACCTTATTTAGTTGCAATTCCATAAGTACATGATGCTGCCGCTGTGGACCACCTTGTTCCTCCCACGGTAGAGATTCTGCTGGCTTCACATCTTCCAGGGAGCTATGATGCGTCTATTGAGAGAATTTGAAAGGACGTCAATAAAAAACTTAATAGTACCTATTTTTTACTTTAACAGGTTTGTAATTTTTTTTCAAAAAACACAGCATTTGATGAGTGATTTTTTAATTTTTGAACACTGATTTTCTTCAACACCAAAAATTCTCAATAAAATTAAGTTTTTTCTAAAAAAAAACACACAAAAAACGAAAAAACAGAATTTTTAGGAAAATTTGATTTAGTGCAAAATTTATGCAAAATTGAGAAAAAAGGTCATTTTTGTATTTAGTACCCAACAATACATAGGAAACTAGGTGGCACATGTCTCACAAATTATCCCTGTTACAGATAACAAGGTTGTGTTAATCGAATGACATACTTTGTCTACAAGTCACCTTTCATAATTGATTCAATGTGTTGCTGAAATCGATTACATTGCTACAATGAGAGGGGGCTGGGGCTCCTAATTGGGAGCAATTCAGAAAAATTTGATTGATGAGAAATGTCTCCTTTTGACCTACTGAATATCCTCCTACAGGATGGCAGTTATTCTGTACTTGGAAGATCCTGTATTTATCAGTCTATTAACACAATTGAATCATGTTTTTAGACAATTTTAGACAAGGTATGAATTTTAACATTCTGATATATGATACTTCTTCAAAATTGTATATCGAACACAATTCCTTCGACAAAAATTACTCAATTAGCTCTTAACAAAGATAAAAACATTTTTATTTAGCACTAGTCACAAAAGATTTGAATTTCCCGTTTGCAAGAAAAACCTGAGTCCACTAAAATCAAATTGCGCACTACAATGGTTTGGGCAGGCCTTTTACTGAGCTATGTTCCTTCCCCACCCTGTAATCTTCAAGGTGTAAACAATGTGCAACAGCTGAACCGAGGCGGTAAGATTGAGTTTGCCACATTTTTAAACCACAAAGACGTTTAGTGTTCGATTTAACTTGCGTGCGATTTGGTTTTTTTTTTTTTATAAGAGCAGGAAGTTTGAAAATATTAATAAAAAAACGTTGATTTATTGGTCAGGAGTTACTTTTATTAACTATCCTTCCACAAATCGTGTTTAAGGTACGGAAAATTTTGAGTAGAAAATACGAGTCAAAATGCTTCAATTCGCACCTTGACAAAGAAGAGGACTTATGAGCTTACTTTAAATTTTAAAATTATAGCAAAAACTTACTCCTTTTACATTGTATTTGTAAAATCTGACATCATCCATATCCATATTTATCTGACCACTTCTGTTAGCTGGAGAGGTTGGGCAGCTGACACTGCATGGACAAAATACACAGTTGAATGAAAAAACTTTTCCTAAACTAATTTTGTAGATAATAATTATGAGTAATGATATGACAGTAACAGAACATGGAGAATATATTATACTCTACTAAATTACGAATCAAAAACCATGGAAAATACTTCTTAAATTGATGATAAACACTATATTGGGAAAAGCATCAAATTAGAAACATTTAAGAGTGGTACATCAAATGGTCAGTGATGCCTATTTTTAAAAATTCATTTTCTTGAAGTACCAAGCGCGTTAAGCTACCAGTAATTCTTTCAAATATTTGGACTTGAATGGGGGGAGAAAATTAATTCTGAAATTGCCAAAATCTGGGCCCATTCAAAACACTTTTTTTGGCGGTCTGTTATGACATGCATAGGCGAGAGAGCTTGTATTCACTAATTGGCTGAAGCCCAGCCAAAGACATAGCCTAGTTAAATTATCCAACCTTAGATTGATTAGATTAAAATCACCTTTTTCTGCCCTTAAGAGTGCTCTTTCAAATTTTTAATGGACCATCTGGTTCTTTTCATGAAATTTTACACAGAAATAAACTGTCAGATACTCTGCAGACATGTTAACCCACTGATCTCTACAGATGAGGTAAGGGATGGATTTTGAGCCAAAATACTCCCTTAATAATGGGCAAAAAACAAATCCGTTCAGACCATCCACGGGAAAAAGGACCTAGGTGCCAAAAAACCTATGAAAATTCCCCCTCCTCTTAAAACCAGTAAAAAAGGACAAATCAAACCAAACAGGTGCCAATAAAGAAGCTAGGTTGTTCTCAATTTTGAGACTAACTTTTATCAGTTTCCCACTGTTTGGAGGCTGATTTAGTCTTGATATGGCCATCCACAAGAGCTGCAAGATCGAGTTGAGCTTGGCTCTAAATTGTGTCTGACTAGGGAACCTAGACTGTGATTTTTAAATGCATTTCTGCTTTTTCTGAATTATTTTGATTCAAGTCCGCAGTCACCTTTATTGCCTTGTTGAAATCTTCATGATGAATAAGATATTTGGGGCTGTCCCTAACTTACACAACTTACTTTTTCAGCATTTTTTACCCCCCTCCCCTCCTTGTAACGCTTTTGTGACGTAGATCCCTATTCTCTAATACGTAAAAAGAAAATGGTGTACCAATCTCCTCAAACCTTTTCCCCTAAGAGTTACGTAATTTAGGGGCGGCCCCTTTATCTGAATTTTTTTCTTGCTTTCATCCCAGTATATTTGTTACTATTATTTTGGCATTATAGTTATTATATATAATAATTGTGTATTGGGCTAAACTTGTTCATTTTTTGATACATAAATGAGAGGAAAGATTACTTAAATTGATGACGCACCTTTCATTGATGGGCACATACTTTTCACTGGGTTTGGCGTCCCCAAAATCAGATCCTCCGTACATGTGCCATACAACAGTCATTTCTTTCAACGTATACCGTCGAGCTGGAACCGGGAAATGGTCTGGCGCCTTCAAAACATCTGTTTTGCCTACTGGGATATTGAAATGATTGTCTACGATTTTTATTGCCGCTGAGTTCAGAGTTCGTACCTCTGGAAGACTGCTTCTAGACTGCAATGATAATCAATAAAAAAATAAAATATGGTAACATGAGCACCAAGATTAGCATCATGCGACATGCCAAAGGAAAAAAATCAAATGCTGATGAAAAATTAATGAATAAATATGTACACCTATTTTTTAACCTAAAAATGTATTGAGGCATACTTTTTCGAGCATATTCTCAACAGAATGCGGAAACGTTGATAAAATCTTTGTAAAGTTATAGAAATTGATTTGCTGGGTTTATTCAAGGCCTTCATTTTTACTATTTTAGTAATATTTACAATTCCGGTCAAAAAACCCTCTTTAACTGCAAGAAAACTAGAACACTGGTTTCTTCACAAAGAAATTTTGCGACTGACAATAGAATTGAACAATTTTTGGGATGATGTTTTTGAACTCCTAGTGGCCAACAGATAAATGGACTGTGTTTAGCAGAAAGGAACCAGGTCACTTCGACAAATTCAATTTGGCAATTTAATTTTTTACAAGAAAATGTTTGCACAGATTCCTTTGAAAATCATGAGGAATTTACTTCGAGCCATGCAGAAAATCCACTGAAATTTTCACAAAAATCCGCAAAACAGTTTTCATGTAAAAAATTAAATTTAGCAATAGCTGATGTGGCTTGGTGCCATTCTGCTTGAAACGGTCCAAATAGCGTTGATAAAAATAGTGAAGGATTCGAGGTTGCAAATGGTTTTACTCCAGACTGCAAAAAGCAGATGCTGCTTAGCTTAGAAAGCGCAGTTTCACGAGGAAGAAAGAAGCAAAGCAGTTCTGCACCGCCTGGAAAGAATTTAAAAGCAAACCGTTCAAAGTTATATTAAAACCTCGCGTAAAATTAAGACTGATAACCTGTGTAGAAATCTGGTTAAACACTTATTTTAATTCCACCGATTCAAGATACACCACTGCTGGTGAAACTAGAAAGCTGCACCTTCATTGAGATGTTTCAAAATCATAGCTCGAGTTTAATTTTTCTACGAAACCCATTTTTCTATTTACCCATTGAATGTTTTCACTCAGTGCTTTTAGGAATGAGAAGTCATACAAAATTTAGTGCAAAAGCAAGAGAATAATTGTCTTCCAAAACAAAAAAATTCATCGATAGCTAACTCAGAAATGATTCATATCTCTCAAAATGTTTTAAATTTTTGCTTTATTTTTCTTTAACGGAAACGAGTCAATTTCACTGTTGTTGGAAATTTTCACAGAATATTCTTTAAACAAACAGGAAAAATCAGAGACATTCCTGAGATAATACAAAGATTAGTTTCCCAAATAAAAAATAACATAAGATAGGAAGTCTGGATGGCCACTGACCATTATGCACGGTTTTTGAGATTTAAAATCTACACGATAGGATAAATGCAGTGTTACAAAGTAGGATAAAAATACTTCTAGTTTCACCATCAGTATGTTCCGAGTTAAAAAAAAGCGAGCAAAATTTATAATTATGTTTCATCAGTTACTCCCTGGTCGTGTTATCAAATTTGTTAGAGTTCAATTAGAAAAAAAGGTGATCGAAGGCAGTGAAAAGGTCTGAAAAAAAAAAGTTATACGTCACATTCTTTTTAATGTTACAATTTAAGATCAAAATTTTTCAGATTAATCTTTTAAACCAAAGTTCATAATAGACAGGAGAATACATCAATCTCATGGCCTAACGAGACTAGGTCTGTCCTTGCGCAGGTCGCCCGCCGACGCGGCTAGAAAGCCGCCCCTCGCCCATCGGAGTTTTGCCGTGACGTCAGCAGAAGCCCACTCCGATTCCCGGAATGAGGAGCACGTGAGTCGTCGAGATAATCTCCCGCCCCCCGCCCTCCGCGGGATAGCCTACCGTTTTCAAACTTCCTGCTCGAGTGGGCTCCTGCTGACGTCATGCGCAGCAGAGGTCTTATTTTCGTTTTCGGAAGGACAGACCTAGTCTCATTAGGCCATGCATCAATCTGGAGTTAATTATTTAATTTTTGGTAGGGTGAAATTGGAAGTACATACGTGATTCGGTTTCAGTTTATGCTTTGGATCTCTATCGCAAAAACTTCCGAAGAAAATTTAAGCTGGTGAATGGAAATGATGAGAATTGAGTTAAAGACAAAAAAAAAGATTTCATACCAAGTTATCCATGCAAGCTTTCTGCTCCAGCAAGCAAAAGCCGTACTCTACATCATCATCATTCCAATTAGAAGGTGACCTGCTTACATTGTCGCTACGATTTTCATCGGGGAACAGAAATATGTCCCCAGCACCATTTGTTATCACAGCTTCTTCTGAAAAACAAAACAATGTTATTGGCACATTCAGTATTTTCCCAATTGAACAAGAGACTTTGAGGCAAGTTTGAAGAAACTATCATTTGAGAAAACAGAGAAGAATCGGAAAATTAAAAAACTCAAACTCACAAAATAAAATTAAAAAGCCGACGCGTTTCGGGACACCTCGGTCCCTTCTTCAAGGCTAAATTCCGAACGCGTCGAAACGCGCCGAAACGCGTCGGCTTTTTAATTTTATTTTGTGAGTTTGAGTTTTTTAATTTTCCGATTCTTCTCTGTTTTCTCATTTAATTAGCTCACAGTTTGTTACCTCGGTTTTTTTCCGTTAGTTTCGTTTGTTTTCGACTCTTTCGGTTCGTACGTTTTAAACTATCATTTGTTTTCTGCAAACAGTTTTGACATCACCTCAAAATTTGAAAGACAATTTTGCTACGAGGCTTAATTTTTAAGTCTTGCGTCATAAGTTTTAAGTCTGCAACAAATGCAAAAACATTGCATCATGGACAGAGTCAGCTTTCTTATGTTATTAATAAATCATATTTTCCACTAAAATTATATACATATAAAATCGCTTTACAACGCACTCTGGCGTTCTACGACACCCAAACGCCACATATGCCTGTCTTCCCAGAGGTTATCAGGCAACTGACACCGCAACATCTCTTTGTCAACGCCCTGCCGCCAACCCTTTACGGGACGTCCCCGTCGCCTCTTCCCAGGTGGTACCCAATCCAAAACTTGTTCGGTCAACCTCTACTCCGACATTCTTTGCACATGCCCAAACCAGCATAACTAAAATTAAATATGCTTAATCTTTGAACGGATCATTCAGTTTCAAAAAATAAGTAAATGAGTGAAAGAAAACTTTCAAAGGTACACTGTTAAAAGTGTTTTGTTCTGACACAACAAAATTACCATGATAAATTATTAGAATTCAATTTCCAAAATTTTCTTAGGCTTGAGGCAAATTTTAAAGCCCTCAAAATTGAGATTTCTTTCCTCAAAATGAACCACGTTAGTAAAAAGAATCTTATCAACAGGGGGAAAATGAAAGAGATATGTAAACTTAGCTGATTTTCTTTTAACTTTAATTAAAATTGTAAACTTTTATGCTCTTTAACTTTAGGCGGAAACTTCCTTGGACAAAAATATTAGAGAATCATTATAAACAAAACAAACCTTCTGATTTTGTTTCAGGAACAGCATTGGACTCCATCATGGCATCTTCCATCATCAAATGAACATTGCCAGCAGGACTTGTCAAACTTTCGCTCTCTGTCACAATCTGCTCCTCTTCTACCATTGACTCATTGGTTTTCTCCGTTATTGAACTAGAGTCAAAATTTGGAGTTTCCGTAGCGATATCACCATCCGAGGCGATGTATGATAGGAGTTGGAGGAGGATACAAGCAGAGTCTGAGCAAGTTCGTACATGAACAATATTATTCGAGGCACGGAGATCAATCTTTGGACTGTTGGCGTTTTCTGTTTTACGCAATGACAGTTCAAATAGTCCAAGTTTCACCACACAAATATAATCTTTTTTCACGTTAAGAGTTCGTCCGGACGTCACGGAAACTTTGTCTGTGAGGGCAAGAGCGACTTCTTCTGCCATGAACCTTAAAGTTGATGAACTTGTCCGAGCGACAATATTGCTAGAGAGATTGAAACTACCGAATGATAGCAAAGCAGCATAAGGTAAGTAGAGAGGCCTGGAAATAAGAATACAGAATAATTTTTTCAGTAAAAGTAATTATCTTATAGTATTTGACTATTATACTAATATTACAAAACATATAATAAATTCTGTACAAAGATATATTATATTCACGCAATATCCATTTTGAAGTTCCTGTCTTTTGCTGCAAATTCCTGCCTTTTGATCAAGAGTAAGTAAGTTACATTTGCTAAAAGGACAAATATTCTTAATTTATTGCAACAGAAATGATAAAGACTCAAAAAAAAAAAAAAAAAAAAAAAAAAAAAAAAAAAAAAAAAAAATACAACAACAACGTATCTTTCCACATATGGATTGCATTTTGCAAAAAGGAACCACTAGCATTGCAATGATGCTAAGATTGTGCAACTTCATTTTTTGCAATACAATTGCGGAAATCGTGAAAAACTATGAAATTTAGATGGTAATTTTTGTCTTAAATTTACAGTTTTTAGCGAGGAAAATAGTAACTATTAATGGATAATCGGGTTTTTCCTCCAAGACAAAAGAAGTTGCATAATCTTAGCAACATTGCAATGCTAGTGGTTCCTTTTTGCAAAATGCAATCCATATATTAAATAAAAAATGAGTAAAAACAATGAGAAACTTTCCTAAGTTCAAGTGTAGGAAATTGAACATACCACAGCAGAAAAGTCACAACTTAATTTTTGATATATCATTCATCCTTTATGAAATATTACACGAGAGAAAAATTGGTTCGCTGTAGTTCATGGAAGCTTTTGGATATTTTTGAGTTATTTTTAGGAACTTGAACAAATAAAAAAACTGAAATGATTGGGTTTATCTTGCAAAAAAATCTTGAATCTTAAGAAAATAAAAAAAAAAAAAAAACAAGATTGTAAAGTTTTTTTAAAATAAAATTTTGACTTTTGTCTACCTGATACTGAAAACAAGGGGAAAACTGAAAAATACACACCTATAGTCCACAGCGCAGTTGAAAAATTGGATGTGAAGCTCAGTGACGATTTGGGATGGTGTGTAACCCATAATCGGGTACGAGAGAACATCAAAGAAATCCAGCAGTTGATTGAACCAATTATTGTCCGTCGGACACATTCGATACCGCAGCGTTGCATCACTGATGGCGCAGGCTACTCGGATAGTCTGCAAGGATTAAAATTAAGGATTCATGTTATAGAAAATTATGAGAAAAGCTAAGATCTCGCGATTGTTGTATGTAATCCATTAAAAGTAAATAAACAGAGAATTCAAGGAAGATTCAGAGTTTTTAATTCAAATGGAAAATTTTCGATTTTTCAGCATTCTCAAGCACTATTATCTAGGTTCTTGGCAACAAGGTTTGACAAGAAGGAGAAGTCGGATAACCTAACCTAAATTAACAAATAATTTCACAATAAATTACCTCAATCGTTTCAAAGGATTTGCTCCTGTAATCACTAAATTGTTTGGATGGATCATATTTTAAATGCTTCAGAATGACTGAAATCAGACGTGAGATAAATTGATGGTAGTTTTAGGGATTATTTGTTTATTTACATTCGGCTATTCGGTTATTATTATTTTTCGGCTTTTTCGTTTTCATTTTTATTTCGGCTTTATTGCATCTCTCAGCACACCTGTTTGCTAGCAACATTGAGATTTGATTGAGATGCAATTTTCTTTGTTGATTTCATACAGATTCTTAGCTGTTGTAGGTATAAACAGTGGATTAATTTATTGACAGAATTTGATGAATTAGGTATATAAATTTAGCACTTCCTGTAGATTCCGGCTTGTTTCTATACAATATTGCCATTTTTGTAGGATCAATTTGTTTTTCATGCTTAATGCTTCCTTTAACTATTCTTTTCTGAAACTAGGGCACTAAACAGATAAGCTCAACTGCCACTCACTTTCACCCGCGAGTCGTTGACTTTAATGCTGACAGCCACAGCCAGCATGTCCGAACAAGAATCTTTGAGAAGTTCTTCACAAGACTGGTAGATGGTAGGATCGAGGTGTAAACTCGTTGATGAATTTGAGCTGGCACTAGATGATGCCGGTGAGCAAGGAACTACAGCACCTGATGAAAAGTTAGGCAAAAATAATTTATTAACTTCCAAGCTAAGAGTAAGACACAGCAACTTCTACAGAAAATGCGGAGCAGTCTTTGTAATTACTGAAACAACCCTGGAACTACTTAAGCTGCCTCTCACTTCTTCATTGAGCGGTAGAAGGTACTTATGTCGCGTCACAATAAGACTGAAAAAAGGCTTTTCAGCCTTCTTTCCCTACGACCAAAATTTTGCTGCCCCCCCCCTCACAAAAAAAGGACATTTTCTTCTTTTAGATTCTCCCTTGTGAAGAATTCTTGACAACTGACACTCATTCCCCTTCTCATGGAAAATGTCAAGCTATTCCTTTGGAGGGTTACGCTGAAAACTCGCAAATTTTTTTTGGTTCCGTCAGATCTTCCATTGTAGCTTCTACTCAGGGATTTTAATACTGAAAAGCTGTTGTTGGATGCATTTACAAAGAGATAAGTCATGAGCGTCCAGCCTGTAGAGACATATTTACGCCCACGTAAAAACCATGGTTGCCACTGGTTGCAAAATGTGAAAGAAAATCGTGAGACGACTTTGACACCTCAGTTGTTTTAATTAAGATATTAGAGAGCTATGCTTACTAGAATGATGGAGAGAGATTGTCCCAGCTTGAACGCATGCATAATTATCACGAACATTGCCTTTATAGCTGGAGACAAAAAATACAAGGCCTTGCTTGAATAAGAATTCCAGTTTTCCATTTTGTCCCGGAATCACAGCTCCATTTTTATCCTGGGAAAAAAAGTAAAAAATTAAAATGAGTTTTTTCAGAATTATTATTACAAACATTTTTGATCTGCCAAAAATTAACTTACAAAAGTTCATTTTGACTGGTACTATTAATTTCTCAGTTTTGCTAGGTTTGCTGGGTTAATCAAATATTTCTGCTGCTAATTTTAAATTTTTGTGTGAGCACTTTCCAAACAGAAGGGGTGGATACAGAGTATTTTCTACACATGCAACAAACTATCTTTATGTTGTTGAAGATGTGAAATTCCACAAATTTAATTTATGTCAGACCCCCTGAAAAACTATCTATTTTTGAACGTCATGTTCGACTTATGGCCAGAGAATGATTATGAATCACTATACTTTCGTCATAGGATTTTATTTCATTTTTTTTTGTTTGATTCTTATTGCATAGGATTTTATAAAGAGCAGTCAATGATATGACATTCATGCAATTTATTGTAGTGAGAATGAAAAGAAAAAAACTTACTTTGTTGTGAGGGAGAACAGTAAAAACACCTTCCCCGACGTTCAGAGTGAAAGTAAACTCGCTCTGTCCTTTGGCTTTTTTCACAGGCTCAGCTTTTTGGACCCAATAAGACACGCCATCTTCTGATTCCGACTCTGATTCAGAATTTGAAGCTGAGAGAAAAAAAGAGATATTTCTAAGTAATGCATGTTCATGAGAAAAAAGTTTTTGATGAATAGGAGCAAATTTTTCAGGGTAGCAATTTTGGTCAAAAACTGCCGAAGAATCGGGCTTTGAGACATTTTCTAGGATTCCAAAACTGTGGGCAATGTGGTTCATTTTTTAAGACGGTAGAGTTTACAGGAGCTGCTCAAGTATTGAGTTCCCGCCCATGCTTGCATAAGCCTCCCTCTCAAAAAACAAATGATCGAATAGTTCCAAAAAAGTGACTGTAAAATAGACAATATGCCAAAAATTTGAAATCAAACCTTGTTTTGAAATTGTGACTACTTGCCCAAACAAGAAAAATATTCAGATTAGTTCAGAAGCTGATTTGAACATGAGTAATGGTGAGAACACAAAATAAGAGAAGGGAAACATACCATAATGTAATCCAGATTTGCAAAATGAGAAATTTATCGAGTTCAGACTATCAAGAGTATTCCACTTTTTTTGTTTTGGAGCTGATGGAGTCCACAGACAAAGATCAGTGTTCAACCTAGGCAAATAGCAAAAAAGTAAAAAATAAGGCAATTGAAAAAAGACTAAAATATACTGGGACAAAATTTCTTCACAAAATTTCGGAGTCTGCCACCTTATGGCCAAAGTATCACAAGCGCCATTTACGCTCAGGTGCTGTGCTGCAAAGCATTTCAATCTTGTTTTAATTTTCTCTTTGAGACTTTAGCAAATACTTTTGAGAAAATTTCAGGGATTAATCTTGAAGATGAGAGAAATATTAGATAAAATTTTTGAGAGCTTTGTTCGCTAGTTTTCTATAAAAAATCATACAAGTTTAGGAAGTTTGGCAACATCACAAATGGCGCTTTCAATACGTGTAAATATCAGCTTGCTTACTGTCTGTTGCGACCGAAGTATAGAGGATGAAACAGAAACGTTCAAACAAAAGGAGTCTATCATGAAAGTCATGGGAATTAAAAATTCTTGACAAGTTTTGACTTTTAGTACAGTCAAAAGTGGTTTTTTTGATATAGCATCTAGACAGACGCTGAGTTCACGCATCACAGACGGCGTCGCGCTCAATCCCTAGCATATTTAGGACGAGATTATATTCCGAATATTTTTAAATGTTCTGTGAAAAGTAAAACCTTTTGTTCCATCGTAAGCTGACGAAATCATCGTTAAATAAAATCAAGGTCTGCAGCAGCGGCATTTTCTTTAAATAAAGATACAATGTTAGAGTAGGGATTTTGACAGGACCAGAAAAGTCGCCATTACATTGTTGTAAGAGTCATCCTATTCAGGTTTTACTGTACATTGCTGATCCTGAACTATAGCATTGAGGCCTTTTTTTCAAGCCCTACTGATGTAGCTGTGCTTGCATAACTGCATCCATATTTGTATTCCTCTCATATCCTTGATAACATACATTGCACAAATAATTTTTTGAAAAACAGCAGAGAAGAGACATTAAGAGGCTTACCTATTGTAAACGACTTCATACAGATGTTTAGAGGGAAAACAGACGTTGGCACATGGAAAAGTTGCATCGATTTGTATGTGAGCATTGTGACTAGCATCTTCAATAAATTCCATCATTTCTTCTTTACTTGCGGGTATGACTAGTTCATCGCTTTCCTCTGAAAGAGGGATATAATTCATGTAGCACAGACAGGGTGTGGACAGAATTCAAGAAAAAAAATTTCTCAACAAAAATGTCAATTATAGAAAAAATGAAAATGAAACATCCTGAATTTTCTTTGTTTTTTTCTGACAAAGCTCGAAAGAAGTTTCCGACTCTCTCAAGTTTTCTACAAACACTCCAGATACTTGAGTTTTTCAGGTATCCCTGAAAAAATGCGAAAAATTCTACATTAAAACCAGATTTCTGACCATCTATTGAAAATAATCATTTTAGTAGCTCATTTTAAAATTAAACTTAACGTTTTCAGTTTTCCCCATCAAAATTAAAATTTTCCAAAATCATCATTCCTAGGACCAAGAAAAAGTGAACTTAATGATGAAACTACTAGTCATACTTTTTTCAAATTCAGAGATCGAGGATGATTAGCATTGATTACATCAGGGGTGCGAGGTTTAGAAATGAAATCGGACTTACGAGAATAGTTACTTATCCCTTCATTGCCTCGAACGACTTTTTGAGAGCTGAAGAGAGAGGGTTCACTACTATCTGATTTGATATAGAAAGATTGAGCCATTGAAGCAGGTTCGTTCATGTAAGAGAGATCATCTTCTAATTCGCTGACCGGAACCGCAGGGTAAATTCTTGCTACGATTCTGAAAAGAAAAATTGAAAAATAAATGTCACATGTTACGTTGAGGAAGAGTGCTCAAAATTTACACTCATCACTGAAATCTGGCTGAAGCAAATTCTTAACTTCGCAATGTAAAATAATATTACTTCATATAAATATTTGGTGTATGTAAATAAATTTCAATTTATGGTCACAAATAATTAATTGATTACTATCTAAAAGAATGAAGTATGAGAACTACATTCAGGAAAAATCAAATTAATAATGTAGAAAGCCTGGAACAGGTTCCTTTTTTTTAGTCTGTAGGGAGGAAAGTCAAAATATGTACTCAGCGTTTAATATTTTTGGTGTCTCAAATTGTTGACACATTGGAAAAGTTTCACACTTTTAGAGCAGAAATTTCTTTTTGAAGGTTAAGCCTGAAAGGCATTCTAAAATGAATCTCAAACTTGCACTAACTTTATCACATCTATTTATGCTAGGTATTTAGTAATGAAACTTGCTCAGTTTAAAATGGATTCATGCTTAGTGTTCTCAAAATAGTGTGACGACGATTCGACATTTCAAGGAGTCTCCGTTAGGAAGAGATTGCAAGAAAAAAGTACCCACCTCAATAATTCTAAATCTTTTGCAATATTCGAACTTGTGAAGTCATTACTTTTATCATCCATGTAGAATTTAGCGATTGGCACTAGAGGGTTTGTATCTTCCTGTAAACAAAAAAATGATCGATTTGCACATGGCAGAAAGTAAACTTTAACATGTACGAGTGCTTTACCTGATTTATTCTTGAAAATCTACTCTATGTAAATGTGAACTGACAAAAAATCATTTTATGAAGCTCTTATTAAATACTTGTTTTTTTCTAACTTTTCAATTTTCTTGCAGAAAGCATTCAAAAGGAACTATAACTGCAATTTAATTTTAAATTGAATTAACAGTTTTCAGGTCAAAATTTCTTAAAATCTACCATCAATTGAAATTCTGCAAAGACAATTTTAAATTGAATTAAAAGTTTTCGAGTCAAAATTTCTTAAAATCTACTACCAATTAGTATTCCACCAAGACAAAGACTGGCATTGTATCACAGCTAATGGAGCTAATTTCTGTAAAACAAAAATCCTTAAGAAAAAGAGGGAACTAAGAGGGAGCAAACATCCACTCCAGGAGATATAATATTTCCCTCAGGCAAAATTTTAACATCATTGTCTTTGATCTCAGAGAAACCTGTACACTTTTCCAATCATTGAAAACCACAGGAGTACATAAAATTAAGGAGGAGGAGTTTCATTTGACAGTTCTAGGTAGAATTTTCTCTTGTTTTTCTAGTTTTAGTTCAAGGTGTCTACTAAAATTCCATTTTGGATTTTCCTGAGTTTTTTGACAATTTTAAATGGAAATTCCTGATTTCTTGCATGTATAAGTTCTGATAAATATCTCCTGATCTATGATACATTTTCCTATATTTTTTACACCTGATGACATAAAACTTCCTGATATTTTCCAGTTTTGCCGGTTTCTACGGATGGCAGACACCCTGCAATTACTGATTAGCTCTGAAGACATTCTGAATTCAAACTGTTTCTTCACTGATTTTTCTGGCACCTTGTCTCCACGGGATGTTTTATGGGAATTGTCCCAAGTTCGAATTGCAGGGATGAAACTTCTGGGCTTCTTCATACAACAATAACACATAACAACAAAACACAACAACATAACAACAAAATTTCTTCTCCTTCTCCCTGAGTCCCTCTTAGGACCCCACGAGGACTCCGCTCGTTACTGTGATAAGCATTGCCTAACTCAATATTTCACCCAACTCTGCAAGTGAGATTTTTCCCTGGGAAAAATCCCATGAAACGTCCCGTGGAGATAGAGCCTGAGAGAGAGCATGCTAAATACTTGCAAGTACCTGAAATAGGACATTTATGTGACGACACTGCAATTCATAACTGCTGGCTGGCTGCCGAGTGGAAGCATGACTACGGACATTGACATCGATTAACTGGAGGTGCATGGAATCAGGCCGTATCCGTCTCTGCCACCAAGGCGGTTTGTCCATGTCATTTGCACTTCTTAAATCAGGAATTGGAAACCTGAAAAAATTTGATGAATTTGAGGGAATTTAGTTGAACCGAACCAAAATAATAATTGTTTAGCCACTACGTGGCAAGGACTAAAACATAGAGACGCCATTAGAAACTGTCCTTCGTTATGATTCCTGTGGAAAATTTATTTATATAAGGTACAAATAACAAAAATCAGGAACTCGAAGGGATGGATTTCATTTCACCGATTATTTCAGCAGGATTGCAGCGCGCCAAAACTGTGGAGAAATTTTCTTGGTTAGATGAAAGGCTATAAGAATTTGCAAGTACAGTAAAGTTTGAACGATTCTAATGCCAAAGTTTAAGACCTTCCATAGAAATTTTACTCTTAAAATAATACTGAAAAATGGAAGCATCTCTTGGGGAAGTTCTATAAAGTATGGGTTCATATAGAAACAAAATATCAGTATCAAAGATGCATAAAATAATTACCTTAATAGGACTACAAAGTAGGGTATTGATACATTCCATTCCAGCTCGCTTTCATTGGAGTATGATGATGTTTCCAGGAAATTGTTTGAAGAATTTTTAAAAAGCTGGAAAAAAAGTTAGAACTGCATTTAGGACTGAAATTATTTTTTTCATTTCAAGTAAACTTCTTTTACCTCAAGACGAATTTAATCCTTCAAAGAGGCGAACTTCTGCTATTTGCTATTTTTGGGGATTTCAAAGTGTACGGAGTAAATTTCACAGGTTGGGTGCCACCTTAACTTGGAGAATAAATATTCCAAGTACCTGGCATTTTAACCAGAGGTTAAATCATATCAAGAGGTGATAGAACTGGGTTTAATTTGCAAAATATTGTTGATTACCAAGGGTTTTTTTTTTTGGGGGGGGGGGGGGGGCAGAATTAAACCCTACGGATTGAAATTTTATCAATTAGAAACACAAAAATGAACTAGTGATGGAGTAAAAATTTTTCCTTGTCTTTTTATAGATCCTTAGAAAAAGTACTATACCAACGTTTTGCAAATGGTTCAAATTCGTTCACTTATGTAGCGCAACCGTCATTGATCTATTGCAGGTTTGTGAAGCGACCAGAGTGATCATTTTTCTATAAATTGGATACAAAATTAGCGAAATTTAAAAAAAATTGGACTCACTCTGCTCTCATTCAAAATTCCAAAGGACAAACATTTTTTGTGCGACCTACATCACTAGGAACCTAAAACAGAATCTGACCAGGCCATAATCAATCCCCAGGTCATACTTATTTCTCTTTTCTGATAGGTGTATGACACAAAAATCTTGCATCTTGAAAATAAAAAAAAGGAAAGACTTTTTTAAAAGATACGAATATTAGTACGCAATTATTATACAATACTTACAGTTGTATTTTCATGCACAGATGATACTTTGCTGCATAAAGGGTGCGGATTCAAGAGTACAGATATCCTATCAACAATGGAGATATCAACTTCTGACCAACATTGCTGCAAGGATACTCTGAAATAGGGAAAATGAAGGGTTAGTATAGATATCAGATATTACTAATCAACTTCTTCAAAAGATATGTTTTCAATATTGACAGGCAGGTTTTAGTTTAGATTGCTTTCAAGGCAATACAATTTCTTAAATCAGGGAAGAAGAAATGAAAATTTCTGAGATTAAGTGTTGGTGAACATTGGATTAAATTCGAAAAAATACATATAGTTGAATCCCCCTCCCCTACTTTTCATGCTGGACAGTCAGGCAAGAAAATTAGGGAGAGGAGTCTACCGTTTTTGTTCATTAAATTTCATCGAATATTCATTAACATTTAATATCACAGAAATTTTCATTGCGCATCCATCACCACTTATTGGAGAAAAAATTAATTTCCAAAAATAAGATGCTTCACTCACTGCTCACTGCTCTACTTTCCAGAAGTTAGAAAGAGAATTGCTGGGGAGAAAAGAGATTTTTTACGGTGATTGTTCATGGTGGTTTTGTTGCTTAATCCCAAACCAAAGAACACAGCAACTTATAAACATTAACAAAAGATGCCTCCAATAACGACTAGGGTCTATTAATCAAATGCATTATCATAAATTGATATGGTAACGTTGCATGGTGTCATTAAATTAAGGAATGAATAAACAGCAGAAACTTACTTGATATCCATGCAGGAAACAGAATTGTGTTTCACATGGTCGCTAAATTTAATTTGCACTTTCACATCAGGACTAGAGTCAACAGAGTAGAGAGGGGCTATGAGAGAGTTTTCCGAAGAATTTTTCATAAATCGCAATAACTGAAAAGAGAAAACACAATGGAAAATAAAAGAAAGAATTAAAATATTTAAATAAAAATTCCTAAATTTTGAGTTTTCAAGCTACGATACCAGTCACCAATAAGAAGCATTCGACCACTTACTGAGAAATCCAATAAAGCGATTCACACTTAAACTTTCGTTTCACTTCCTTCCAATGTATCTGCAATTTAATGTTCAAGCCTTATTCCTTCCCAATTCTTATCCCGTGGAGCATGACACATGATATTACTTGAAAACTTCTTTTAAAATCAAGGTATTGGGAAGTAAAAGTTTTAAAAACTCTGGCTTGAAATGTTCGAAAATTAATCTCAACATGGAGACAAAAAAACGCCAAAGATTTAAAAAATGATGTTTAGTAGTTTCCCATGCTGAAAATCAAGTATGACAAGGAGTCAAAAAAGCCGCAGACTGAGATGTGCATTTTTGCAGTTTCATCCTTGAAATGAAGAGGTTACTTGCGAACACTCCAAATAAAATTGACCGTCAATTAACACGGTGCAGAAAAAAAAGAAAAGCATCCGTCCTTACCTCAACATATTCAACTTTTTGATTGGGGACTACACCATCATACAGGCATTCTAAAACTTCTAAATTTGCTGCTGTCAGTGTGAAATTATCTAATTTACTCACACTTGTAACTTCATCACCTTCTAATATCACAGTAGTAGCTAATAATCTGAAACAAGAAAAAGAAAAAAATTACAATCATTAACAATCACTCAGTATAAGCTGAATCGTGAAATAGTAACAGGTCTCGAATAAAATTAGCAAACTTTAAGAATTGAAGCAAAGACCCTGTCAAATATACCGGCTTTGTACCCTTGCCTCATACTTGTGAATAGAAGACAACAGCTAGGAATGGTTTATTCTCTTATCAGGCTATTCACTGTCAGCATGGCTTAGCTTTGTAAAATATTTTTAAAAAGTCTCGCCTGACTAAAGAACTTTATAATATTGGTACTAAAGAGAGAAGTTGACTTACCTTATATGGTTCAGTTGACAAGCATCTGAAAATGTTTGCTTGGCGTTAGTAAAATCTTTTGTTCCATAACCGCACACAGCGAAAAGGCCTAGTTTGCTGAAGAATGACTCTGATAAAGCAGTCATTTGTTTTAAACTAGATTGGGAGAGGGCATTTGATTCGACACACTGTGTTAGGATATCTTCGTGGAGGATGATCACAGCCAGAGAGCTCAGACGGATATAAAAGTGATTAACACTGGAATTTGAATCGGGATCACCGCTACCAGCTGAAAATAAAAAGTAAGTGAGGTTAAATTTCATAGATGAAGTTACTGGATCAGAAAAGAAGAAACTACTAGTATCAAAAATATCATATTCATTAACATACGGAGTGTTCTTAAACATTATTCAGATACTGCAGAAATTGATTCAACAGACTGAAAATAGACTATTTTGCTTTGCACCATGTCTCGATTTTTAGTCATTTGAAGCAGGAATTAGATCTTTCAAAGTTTTGGAAAAACAAAAAAAAATCAATTATTTTAATTGCCGAGGCACTATCAATTATAAAAGACAAAATTCGGATTATGAGAGCATTTTTAGACGTTTTGTCCATTTCTTGCCACAGATGAGTAAAAGCTGAGAAAAATGTGGAATTACAAGCATCTCAAAATTGGAAACCTCTATCACTGAATTGAGAGACCCGTTAAAGCTCCCACTTTTTAAAATTTTTACTTTTTGTGGATCAGAAATTGATAGTATGCAATCAAATACCCCCACTGTAAAATTATGTATTGTAAGGTTGACAACTGATTCTGAAATTGAAGAAAAATTCAATCTCTTGCTCAATAAATTTTGGGGAGCTATAAACTTTTTGAAATAGCTCAACAAAAAAGTATTATAAAACAAAAAACTTCTTTTGATCCGAAGAATCAATCATTGAAGAACCTCCATTCCCAATCTAAACACCTTACTATATTGATTGAATATGTTACGATAAATACATACAAATATTTCTGGAATTTATATAAGATCCTATTTTGCCCTTTGTATCACCACATTTTCTGCGTTTCCACTCCACTATGTTAAAGGTGATCGCTAATTGGCAAAAATCTATTTTAGGATAATAACCAAAGTACGAAGCACTTACATCTTCCTTTCCATTTAGTTGAAGGCCCACTCATAGAAGAAGAGCAACTAGAAGTTGAGCCACAGGATTTGCTGGAACATCAAAGAGTCTACTTAAAAATGATGCTCAGTAACACAGAAAAAGATTCATACAAGGGAATAAACGCACAATTTCAAACCTAGATATTTTTTAAAAAACTGAAATTCACAGTGAGCTCCATCTCAGATTTTTCCTACTAACAAGGCTTTGAGCCAACATAAATATTTTATTCATTTTGATAACAGGGACACATTTAATTACATCATTAATTGTTACAGGGATACGATAATTGAACTGCAAGAACATGTATTTTGGTTTGCAACATTGCAGACTTCCTGTCAACCCTCATTTTCAGCATTGAAAAATACTCAACAGTATTTCTCGAAAATTTCCCTGCCTTTTCTTATTTGTGTGAAGAATATTCAGTGAAAGTTTCAAGCGATAGCCTTGATTTGCTCTTCTTTGATTAAATAAATAGACAGCAGAGCTTTTGAAACAGAGCCAACAAGATACGCATTCTTGCAGTTTTACCGTCGAAATTCCATGGATACAAATTATTTATTTCTTCATTTTGATGATAAAGAATTTTTTTGGAAGTAGCTTTAAATCTTACCCTGTAGAGAAATTTATTATGCTCTTCAATTGTCCTATGTTTACAGAGTTGCAGGCTGATTGTTGAAATCGATAGACAAAGAAGACGTAGGGAGTATGGAGCGATCCTATTGGTTGAAGTGGTTGGTTCTGATAGACTAAGGGAGAAAATGATGGACCAAGTATAGGGTCTATTGTGGGTTGCCTTTATTTAGTCTATTACTTACCTTCTTTGTCTACTACAAGCACCAGCTTCCACCGATAAGATTCCTCCAGATCCCTTTTGTCTTTTTTGTCTATAGCTTTGTCTACGAATGTCAGCAATCAGCCCACTGGAATTTTACACCTTTAATAGCGTTTTACATTCAGACTCTCAGAGATCAACGAAAAGCAGGGAATGTGAGTATTAACTCAAGCTTACCTAGAATTAATGTAAGCATTCGACATAGAATTATTGAAACTCGAGGGAAGACTGGAGGTAGCAGTCCAGCGATTGTTCATCGGCTCGAACTCGTCCTCACTATCTTCGAGACCAGCCGAGGACCATCCGTGAACAGCTTGCAGAGTTTTCTCTTTCGAGATATTGATGGGGTGCAGTTGGCGCAGGAGTTCCTGTTCGACCCGGTCGAAGTCGGACGCCTGCATCATTTTTTGAACACAACGCGGTCTCTGTGCGACATTTGAGCAATCTTGATTGTCTGGTGATGCTAGTCCTTGCATCAATTCCAAGAGTAAATGAAACTGCCGCGGCGACAGGAACATCGTTGCAGAGCCTATGTCGATTTCAAGATCAACCTAAACAGGAACAAGAAAAAAATACTAAAAATGTGGTCCGAATTAAAATTGATAATTTTTTTTTTTACTGTAATTAAAATTTGTGGAAGTTTTGAATAGTGTGGACCCAGCACTCTTTTATCACATTGTCCTAAACACAAATATCGGTTAGTGCTAGATATGTGTTTTTGAAAAGTGAAGTTTAGCATTAATATTATAACAGAGTAAGAATTTTTTACATTCATTTTTTGCAATAATTGACTGATGGTTCTGAGGCCCCATAACTGAAAATTAACGTTCGCAATGTTTTTCCGAGATACTCAGTTTGATCAAGTGACATACCTTTGGTTCCAACACCATTTCACCCTGTTTCAGCTTTAATCTGACTTCTTGCCTGCCGGTCAGTTTTCCGACAAGAATTGGATTTGGGACATATGCTGATTCTTTTGAGCTGACATCTTCAGAATGAGCAGATTCATACGTACTCGTTTCACTTTCCTGTAACACAGTAGAGAGTTCATGATATTGAGAGGCAATGAAAAATGTTGCTGTTCGGAAAACATCATAAAAACATAAGTACAACGTTGTCAAAATTCTAACGATAAGACACTATTTTCTAAAAAGCTGTTGAATTTTTTCTTCTTTAAATTTTGTAGAGGATTATACTCAATTTAACCAAAGATAGATGAAAATTTCGAAAAATATACGTGACTTTTATCAAAAATAAATTATTCATGAGTAGAAATTTGGCAACATTTGAATGCTCCTGCCTGCGGCGTTATTTCTTAGCATGACAGATGATGACCCATAAAGGAAAAATGCGGTAACAATCTATAACCAGCAGATTCTCGAAATTGTAATAATTTCTAACAACGTAATTGGATAGAAAGTTCATTTTATCATCTTATACTTCCTAATTTTTCAGATAACCCCGGATTGAGAGATAACTAATTAAAAACTAATCATCTGACATAAGCAGAATATTTCCTTTCATGGCAGAGACTTTGTATCGAACAGATAAACCCATTCAATTTTCTAAAGGGAGTAATTTCAATGAGTAGAATCGGTTGCCAAATTCACGAATTTTCTGCAGAGCAACAATGAACATACAATTTTAGGTGTCGATAGTACTTTAGAATATGGCAGAAAAGATGCCACTTGGCAATTGGCTATTACTTACTCTTTAGTTAGCTCATTGATTCTACAGTCCACACTAAGAATTCTATGAATTTAACTGGATCTGTGAGAAGGGATCGAACCTTCCAGAAGAAAAATTTCCTTACATTTTTAAACATTTATGGGGGAAAAAAATCTAGAAATTTTAGCGCAAGTTTGATTATAAAATCTCAAAAATGAAGGAAATTTTTGCCCCAATGTTCCATGAGCAAAACTCTTAGGTTGTAGAAAAACATGGTTTAAGTATCTGCAAAAAATTAAGAAAAATTTTTCCCCAAAAAATCAGGCCCCTTTCCACAGATACCGTCTTAAATGCACTTTAGGATTTCATGTTATCTCACAAACTTAGGATTTTCAGTTATAAAATTGCACTATCAGGAAGTAATGATACAAATATAGCATTTCAGTATGCATGCGTTTTCTTGAAGTAAGACATTTTTCCAGAAGAATGGAGAAACTAGAAAGGAAGGGTGGAATTTTCATCACACGCAGCAACCTTCTGGCAGTCTCTCAACCACAGATTAACTCAATAGGTGGCAAGATAAGTTAAATTAGGCCTCAGATTTCTCATTGTATTTCGATCTCTTTTGTGCGGTTGCAAACAATTTTACAGGAAATAATAGGAATGTAAATAGGATCGAAGCTGTACAATTATTTTTCCTTCCTCCTTCATTCTGAACAATGATTGACCTAGTTTAGATAGGAGACAGATAACACTTAACAGTGAGAGGAAGGGAGAAAATTAATATTGACAGACACTACCTATCAGCTAGCTTATATATCTATCTATCTATCAGAGCCTTTAAGTTTATGAAAATATCTCATAATATGTAATATTCGGAACCATGATACTAAAGGATGGAGAGGGTCAAGATTTTGACTCTATCTGTTTTACGTGTATGGTGTGTATAATTTCAAGTGATATACCCTAATTTCCCATGTTTTCAAGGGTTTCTATCCAATTTCAAGAGTTTTCCATGGGTTTCTCCCATCCAAATAAATTGTTTTGAATATTCCTGATCACCGAGAACCCTACCTGAATGGTGAGAAACCTTCTATCCTTAGAATTTTCTTTGAAATGATCCTTCTCAGGACTGGAAAGAAGGAAATAGATACTACTGGAAAGATAGATCAATAGATCTACTCTCCATGTTTTGATTACGACACAAGAAAATCTTGGCATCTGATTGGTTGAAAAGTATGCGACACCTAAACCATGGAGAAGACTGTAAAATTGAAGAGCAAGGTGACTTAAAAATTCACAAATTTTTCAAAAAAGAGAAGGTAGGTACTCACCATAAATGATGCTGCCATTTTATTCGAGAAAGGAGATTCAGAGATCAAACTTCTAGATACAGTGCGGGCAGACGCAGGAAATTCGTCTGTGTAGAGAGAGACTCCTTCCAGGCAAAACTTTTTCACAGAGAAAGCAGGGGCCGACTGATGAAGACTTTCACTTGAAGGAGGCATTTCTGGTTCGCTCCCTGCTTGGTCCATGTAGCCGAGGCTAATCAGGAAATTGAGCAGATTAAAATCTTCAGGTTGAAAAATACCTTAAAATACACCTAATATGAACTTTTGCTCTTTACATGACTCGTGTAACCTCAAAAACAAAACATCAAATACTTTTGATTGCCTCCTGCTGAACTTTAATGAGTTTTCTAATCGAGATAAATCACTGGTCTGCCGTGCTAAGGAAAAATGCTGTATAAATATTTGAGAGTTGCCAAATTTTCTTTGATAAAATGTTTATTTTTTCGGAGAGTTATGGATATATTTTCTTGAAACCACATAATTTAGATCTAATGTAGTAATAGTTGTGAAACATTCCTTTGAAATCATGACGGATGCTTGGTGTATATTATCAAATAGCAGTGCCTTCATGAAACTTAATGATAAGCGACGGAGAGTCTGGTCAATCATCATGTATGATCTTGTAGAAAACAGGAATGATAAAGCATCACATCTGGTGACTTTCACATATTGCCACATGATTTCATGAAAAATATTTTGTGCTTTAATCCTTCCTCACAAGCTTAAAGAGAGTTACAAACTGGAGTGAAAAATGGATTTCTGTCGGGATCATTCTGACATGAAACCAACAGAATACTTAGGAAAATTGTATTTAAATTAACTTACTGTTTGATTCTCAGCTCAACGGCAATTCCAGTGGGACTTTCTTTGGGAAGATGTTCTAATCGTATCACAGTATCGATGAATTTAACCTTGACTCGATTCAGAACTGAAATAAAGAAAATGAATATAAATTAATAAATAGTTCGAGTGATGAGAATGATATACTCATCTGTAATAGGTACTTTATTTGGACGTATTTCTGTCAAACAGACCTAAGCGCCATAGGGTGAGGAAGGTAGAGGGGGGCTTGGATTGGCGGCGGAATCGGGCGTCCGGCTTATTCCATCTTATACTCGCAATGCTTTTCCATGGCACTTAGGTCCGTTTGACAGAACGTGGTATCCGGGATTCTAAATTCCTGAAAAGGAACTCAACTTGGCGCTTAGTTCCGTTTGATAGAAATACGTCCATTTGGTCATAAGATGAAATTGTATGATAACACTCTCCTTCTGGAGAGAAGAGTTAATTTGAGAAGTTAAGTCTCCAAAATCAGGTTTGAAGCTACTTAAGTTTTTCCTGTAAGTTGCACAGGAAGTATCTTCTTTATAGAAGGTGCTGAATGAGTAAAAAAAAAATAATAAAAGAGGTCATCTGAGGACATGAAGTAAACCTGGGGGAAAAAAAAATCTTAGTCTTTCATGTAGGTTTTTCAATGCAGGTGAATTGATTCCTAAGTTACTCTGAAATTATATGAAATAGTCATACGTAGATGATGAAACTATAGGAATAAGTACTTTTTTCCAGCGCTTCAAAACCTCTGCTCTCATTATTTTATCGCAAGAGAAAAAACCAACACCATTCCTTGAAATTTACATTGAATATTCTTCATATAGGTAAAAAAAATAAGGAGTTTTCAAGGGATTACAAAAAGTAATTTCCATAAAGGCATAAAGCTAGACAAGGAGTCTACAACAGCACAGAACGAGAGATGTATTCCTACAGTTCTGTAGATTCTTCCAGAGTAATTACCTACCAAGATAGCTTCACCTTTATTTTTCACAGACTCTAAAATACTCAAATTTTTCTTTCAAATTCTCATAAGTTAATTTTGTTTGAAGTAAGATGTTACCGAACAATTTTCCTGTAGGTATCTTATTCAAAATTATTTTCCTTTATGAATCATAGCAAATATTAAAATTGGGTATTTCTAGGTTGAAATAAAGCATTTTAGCAGACTTACTTGATTCGATGGCCTGAGCAATGATTTCTACACCTTCCACAGGCTGGGATGCGTCAATTTCTGGACCGCCTTCCCGCAAACATTCCTCAGCCATTTGAATGCTACTTGTCATAGACGACCACATAGACTCAAACATGGATACACCTATGACAATAAAAGAAATAAAAAATAAAAAAAAATGAAAATCATTAAAATTACATGATTTACTTCCAATTTTGATAGAAACAATAAAAGTACATGATATGTATTTTTCATTCATCAGATGAATTTTTTCTACACAGTCTCTCAAGTGTACCGGGTAAGAATAAATACATTCCTATCTATAAACTTTTACCAAAAACCGAACTGCCTGTGGATTATAGGCGCTGTGTATTCAAAGTTCAATGAGAAAAGATCTTAGTCAGCTTTGTCTCTCACCATTTTGAATGAGATAAAATTGGACAGTACTCGAAGTAAAGGACTACAGGGACATTTACATAATTTTAAGAATTATGAATTGCCCATTATAAAAATGGAAGGCTGCAGAGAAGAATGGAGTTCCAATAACTGCAACTTTAACATGGTTGAAATTTTCAAAATTTCATGCCAGAATCTGAAATATGCACTATAGAAAGTAAAGAATTCATTAAGTATGGAGGTCCAATTGACTAATTGAAATACTTATTATCCTAAGCAAAATATTCCATAGATTAACTTATTTTAATATTTGACATACGTTTCAGGGTCCAGGTTCAGGAGAAACAGTTATTTTTAATCTGAAATGTACACCCTTAACTTGTTACCTACTATCTTGAATTTGGAACACCTAGTTTCATATATCATGTTTGCTTCCATTCACGAGTTTAAGGCTTTGATGGATCATAGGTCTTTGTTCAACTTGGAGAATTCCTTTATGAAAATTCGAAAATGAAATTGGTAGTCCTCAGAATAAATATGTGTTACTGCTGAGGCAATTAGAAATTGATATCAATTTTTATGACAGGAAGAGGAATTACCATTTTCTGGTCTTTGTTTTGGTTGTATCGTTATGACTAAGCCAGTGACCTCTACATAGCTTGAGTCTTTCAAGAGAGTGGACCATGGAACAGAAACTGACATTGCAGATATATGTCCATCGACGAATTCCACAGGGAGGTTCCGTTTCTCTCCCCAATCATTCATCGTCTAGAAAAAGAACAAAATGAAGATAAAATTTACTCAAAGTTCAAGTGAAACAGAAGCAGGATGAAAGACAAATGATCAAGAGCAACAGAAAAAGAGGAGATTATGGTTGAGGCATGAAGAGACTTCAAACATTTCTAATTATGTTGTGTTTTCACAGAGGAAAAGTAACAAGCATATATCATTGAAATTTTTGCGGAGCATTTTTGAATAAATCAAGAAAATTTACAAAACGAATTACGAGAGAAACTGCTGGTTAGCATTCTGCGTAGTGTTAAAGAAAGAAACATATGCAGCGACTCGCAATATTTCAGTTAGAAGTATACATTTCTTTACTTAAACCGTCGTTTACCTTCCTAGCATAGTCAGTAATTTGTAATAGATTCAGCTGATCAATATTTTCTACATTCATTCTTAACAAGGAAATAGGCTTGATAAGACTTTTAAGGACTCTTCCTCCAGAAAACAATGCAAAATAGTAGACTCTTCCTTATTTGCAAAAGCTTGGAGATATACAGAGATCATTAGTTGTCCGAGAGGACATAGCTTCAATCAAGCAACTTCAAACTGCGTTTAGTTTGCAAATCATTGGGAATGAAAAAGCTCTTGGAGAATGTATGTGTATAGAGAAATTGATAGAACAAAATTAGCTAAATTTGGCCATGGTTTGGCCATCATCTCAACATATCAAAACACAAGGCTATCAGGAAGTAGAGGTTCCATCCGTGTGAATGATTCGAAAGAACTCTTGCAGTGCATACTTCCAGAGAGGAGATCAAAATCAAATCCTAAATTGATTGGGGATATCAAAACTTGAGAGGAATCTGGCTTCGTGGTTTGGTCAAATACCAAACACAATGGATTCTCCATTTATTTACACCAACAGCTGATCATCAACCTCATTGTACCTTATCAATTATTAGCACCCTCAGGATGCTCGAATGATTGAAGTGTGTTCTGTGATTTCTCACTCACGATCAAACAATATCTTGATATTCTTCCTGGCAATGAAGAGAGATAATGAATAAAGAACGGAGAGGTTTGAAAATGAGGGACAGTTTCCATTCAACAATGAGGTTATCAGTGGGAGGTTAAGGAGCTCCAATTCGAGCCAAATTAAAACAGCTTGACTGAAATTATTGAAAATTGCGAAAAGGACAAGCCTTTACCTGGACATCAAGAGAAACGTCAGATACGGAGCCAGTTCCATTGTATAAATCGACTGTTAACTGATCCAGGGTCAACTTTTCTTCCAAAAATTGACCCAGGTACCTTTGGAGTAAGTAACGACATGCTCGCTTTTTAATGCTATCTGACCAAGGCAAAAACCAAGGCATTGTGGAATCGACGATGACACTTCTTCCTAGGACATATGGCTTAAAAAACTTAACATGTAACACTATTTTAAGTAAAAAAACACCAATTCTAGGGCCACAACACCAGCTATGCAAACTCCGTTGTCTACCACTTCTTTGTTGTGAAGTTGGCTCACCAACACATGCGCAGACGTGACGTAAAATGCGAGGAACTACGAAACCAAAACAATAACACAGACGCAGCACATGGCCGCGTCGAGCTGGCTGCGCGGATGGCTCGACTGAATTTTTTTTCTAATTTTTTTTCTCCCACCTGGCAAAAAATAGGTGCGCCTGGGGTTAAATTTAAATGACAGTATTACTTATAACCTACTGTCATGATTATTATCTTTTAACGAGCCGCGGAAATTGGCTCTTAAATATGGCTATTTTGTCAATCAAAAAATCCGAAACAATGCCCTGGAACTTCGCGACGTGACAATAAATCCAGGCGACGCAACGATGAGTCACTTCAGCAAAAATGCCTTTCACGTCTTCAATTTGATTATGATATTCAATGAAGGAGGGAGGAGGGTGTGGGGGGGATGTGGGAGTTATCGACGCATTACGCGCACGACCGACAAGTTACCTCTCCCCCTCCCTCCCGAATTAACAAGTATTGCGACGTTCCTAAGCCTCTGTTGACGTTTTTTTTTTTTTTTTTTTTTTTTTTTTTTTTTTATGATTGTGCGACCTATATTATTCTTGGAAAATATAGTTGATAACAAATTATTATTCCTTCCCTTGTGATGATTTAGCATCTGATAATTTCAAACGTTAAAAAATGCTTGTTTACACTTCAGTGTAGTTTACATCCTGTCAAGCTGCACTTTTAGCGATCGTAGTTTTATTTAGGGATCTTTTCGCAGGGACAAATTTTGGAGACGTTGAAGTCTTTAAGTAATACTTTAAAGTCCATAAACGGGCGATTAAGCATGTTTTTTACTTTGAGCCCAGACCGGATTAGCGCTCAGGGACTCGGGGTGCTAGCGGTTAAAGGGTCCACTCTTCCTGGTTGCATACTCTTTAAATTGCAGGCGATTCACGTTCCAAAAAAATTAAGGGCTCATTTTACGTGAAAATAATTTACCAATGCGTTGCTGTTCACCCGAAAACCGAAGAATCGATGTTTGTGGTAGGGAAAAAAAAGGATGATCTCTCCTCTCTTCTTTCTTACTCTCCCATTTAAGGAAAATTTTGATTTAAAAAAGCGGGGGAAATGTGAATTCCCTGATTTTTTAAAATTCCCTGACATTTCCCGGTTTCCCCGGTATTCCCTGACATTTCCCGGTTTCCCCGGTATTCCCAGACATTTCCCGGTTTCCCTGGTATTCCCTGACTGCGGCAACCCTGTTGAAAACATTAATATCTCGATTTTTCAAAAACTGCACTTATGCGCCTTGTCCGCTAAGCCCCTCATTTCCGGAAAAATTGGCCTCCTCAATCCCTCAGCTGCGGTCTGCACTTTTCTGCAGTTGTATGCACATGTCTCTCGAATCGAGTCGACTCAATAAAAGCTTATCTCTAGGACGCAAATAGACCCGACGGGAGCACTCGCGGGTCTGCGCGCTTCGATATATATCGATATTTCCCCATTTGAAACCATGGTAAAGAATCGATAGTTAAGGTGTTCGTCGCGAACACCCTGATAATCGATCCTTTTCCACAGCTTTCAATGACAGATCAATCGATACATCGCAAAGCACGCCTCGCCACCGGTCTGCTACTTTGTTTCAAGCTACATGCTCGTATTTTTCTCTCCACGTCGTCAGTCGGTGAGCGACTTCTCCGCTCCCTGACGAGTGGAGGGGGTGGGGGAGGGGGGATGCTCTTGATTAGCTCTGAAACTGGTTCTTCTGCTCCAACTCGACGAAATCGATTCCAACGGCACGGTTGGTCCACGCGGGCGGTGTAAGTGCATGATTCGAAAAAAAAAACCGAAAGGGAAAGTGCTCGCCGATGGCGAAATGCCATGCCGCGCCACGCGTCAGGCGCCACTTTCCATTCCGGGCGCGCGGGGACGAAGGGCGGACCTTTGGCGAGTCGAAATTCGACGGTTTTCGATTCGAGGCGCGATTTGACCTTTGAGTCGCGAGCATGTGCGCGCGCAACGTCCCGTGGCGCGATCTTACGCGCGTTATCATTTGCATGTGTGGCGCTAACCAAGTGATCCTTGCGCTTTGTGGGTCCGTGCCGACGCACGGTGGGTCGGGTCGATCGGGGAGGTCGGACAAAATTTGGAAACTTTAAACGCTTATAACTCCGTTAATACGAGACTTTGAGGTTCTAAAAGTGGTTCTATTGGCTTCCTCGTGAAATTTCCTTCTGGACCCACTCCTTAGATTGTGAAATCGGACGAAATAAACATCAAAATTTCAGTTTTAGTAAAGAATTTCATGTCCGACCTGTCTCATTAACTCGATCCACTGTGCGACGACGGGAGCTCGAAACTCGATTAGAACTGGGGAGAGAAAAGAATGCGGACAAATGTCACATCCAAAAATTGCACCATTCAACAGATATTTACATGCTGACCAATGGGTGAACTGATGATCGATGCATTCAGACTGATGTGACTTTTGTCTATTCTTTTCTTTCTCCCGTTCTAGCGTCTCAAAATTTCTGCTTGTGCTTACTTCAGGTTTGAGTAGAGGACCATTGGACATTTTTGTGCGAGGTTTTTGGAGATTTTTCTTGAAAGGGCAAAGAAAAGAAAAGAAGAAGAAGAAAAAAAAAACATATTGACGCAGTGAAACTTCCAGACCAAGGATCTTGTTTGCGGTGTTTGAAAATCTCCGCTTCTATTTTATTTTCGTGAAAGAGAACACATCAATATCATTTCTTGAAATTTTCGCAGAGTTTTCTTCGCACAGAGAGGAAAAACCATGGAAGTTTTCAAGAATTGACGTTGATTAGTTTTCCATTAAAAAGGCAAAGAACGGCAGGAAGTCTACAACATCGCAAACCGAGATAGGTCGTAGCCTCACCGTCGATATGCTAGCAGTTTCCGTAAATGTTTTTCCGAAAAAATGCGAGGTAATATACTTCATGAATTCTCGAAAAGTGGAGGATTCCACAGGGCAGTTAATGATACAATTATATTAACTCTGGTGTGAGCGGTAAAGTATCTCGCGAAACTGAAGGCGTTTTCAGCTGGTGTCAACAGTCTGACGTAGCTCACGACGTCACAACAACGCGTGCCTCGTAGTATACTGCCGTACTAAGGATGAACGCCGTATGAACATTCGAGAGTTGCCAACTTTCTTCTCAGAAAATAAGTAGTTTTTGAAGAAAGCTATGAATATTTTTCCTTGAAATTTTCAGGAACTTTGGGTAAAATTGCCAACAAAATTAACTGAAAGATTGGAGGAAAAATATTTACAAATTTTCCCGAAAATTCGTGATTTACCAAAGGAAATCTGGCAACGCCTGAAGGTTCATACGGCGTTTTTCCTTAGCACGGCAGTATATGAATCGTATATAACCTGAAAACTCCCGTCATTTCTTTGAAGACGTGTCAGGATCCGCCGAGATAAAATACGTTTGAAAGGACATCTGCGAAATATACATATAGTTTAGTCCAACAACGCGACGTCAATTATCCTTCAAAAAAGTAAAATGCAACAGGAAATACACGTCGCGGACTGAGAGAAAAGTTGTTAAGAGGGGGCAAAATTTGCCGAAAGATCGGACAACACCTCAAAAAAATCACGAAAAATTATCTAAAATCGATAATTTTCCCAAGTCTTCCCGAAAGCAATACTGCTGAGGAATAATTTCCCTATATTTGCATGGAGAGTTTGTCTTGATGTAGAGGTAGACTCTCAGGATAGCGTAGGATATCCCCTCCATTTTGGCCTTAACTTGAGAGCTTTTTTGAGCTTGAAGTTGATGATGAGGAAACTAGTGGCACCATCGTGTTTCTCGCGAACTTTTACATAATAAGAATCAATAGTCAAATCGCAAATTCCTCACACATGCAATATTTCCATTGCCACTTCGTTGAAATTTTTTTGCTCGGTCAGCGCTAGCGCTAGGAGATCCATTTCCTTGAAGTAATTTCATTTCTGGAGTTAGTGCTCTCTTCGCGGTAAAACGGCTGTTTCGACCTTAGAGATATGAGAAATTGCGCGCGCATCATCCCGTGGTGCGATCCTACGCGCGCCTCATTTGCATGTGTGGCGCTAACAAAGTGATCCTTGCGCCGGCGATGAGCTCCGTGAAGCCGCGGTCCCACAGGGAACGGGCGACAAGAAGTAAACCGCGCGAATTATTCCATCGTGCCATAGAAAAACGATGAACATTTTTTGCCAAATCCCATCCGAAAAATAAGTTTTACGGAGCCTTCAATTTCGCCGCCTATGCAACAAACTAACCGCAAAGCGTGAATTGTTATCTATACGTGAAAACCTCAATTTCATTATTACAAAAACTGATGGAACCAATGGACCATTTGTGAACTCATCGGCAGATATCTGGAATGCTAATATAATAGTCTGTTTGAAATTTGCCTTCAATTACATCGCATAGGCAACAAACAACTAGGGAACGCAAACCATCGATTCGAAACACACACACACTTATATCGCTCTGAAAGGAGGGCGTGATTTCGTAAACTACCTGTTATGAACCTGTTGGCATTGTTCGTTTAAGTTCGCCTTCAATTTCATCGCATAGGCAACAAACTTACCGCAAGGCGCGAGTAATTATCCATCCGAAAAACACACAATTGTATCGATTCATAAACTTTGGTAGGACCGAAAGACGTTACCTATCGGCAAACATGTTTTACTCGACAGGCGCCTTCCATTTCACCGCATAGGCAACATGCAACAAACACACCGGTGACTGCGCATACTCATCTTTTTGAAAACACACATACATCTCCCCCCTGGTAAAAATTGGCAGTAGAATCTGTGTTCCAAAATATCATAGACATACAACCGGCTGTAAGATTTCCAATAGCTTCTACAGCCGGCAACACAATTTCTTATAGCCTTTTATAGCTGATGGCGATCAAGGAACAGCCTGGCGATAAAGTGTATGCTAAACGTTACTAATTACGGATGCTAGGACTTAGTGAGTTTTTGGACTACCGTTCTCTTTTTGGGCCGTAGTATCTTGATTTATTTCGCGAGGACAGCTCCGTACTTTTGAAGGATGCCTGCCATTCCTAATAAGTTGGAGCGCCTTCAATTTCGTATGATACTGTGCAATACCTCTGGTGTGAAATAGTTGCTTCAAGCGCCGTGGTACGCTGCGGCGCGGCGGGCGGGCAGCCAGCGCGAAACGCGCATTTGGCGCCTATAAACCTAACAGGGATACTTCACGCATTGCGCAATGCGTGAAGTATCCCTTTTAGGTTTGTAGGCGCCAGTGCGCCGCCGCCCCGCTTTGTGTT